TGCCGTCTCTCCCTCGACTAGCTCTCCGAGCGATATTTCTTAAAAAAAAATCAATCTTCCGCCCAAAACGAAATTCCAACGGCGCGCGTTATCGTCCACTCCCATCGCGAGATTGCTTTATATTTTCTTCGGCCTCGTCGCGCACGCGACGGTTGAGTGTCCATTAGAGTCGAGTTTCGAAAAAGAAAACCTGCCTCGGATTATATTCAACGGCGAAGCTGCGCCTACGTAGCCGTCTACGTACCACGAGTGATCGTGTCAGCTTCAATTAGCCGAAAGTTCAGCCGACAAAACGTACGAGGTAATCGCTTAATCAGCGCTCGCTGCTCTCGCGAATGATGGTCACGCGAGGACGATTAAAAGGCCGTGCGTAGGCGTGGATCGATCGCAGGCCACGCGCAGAAAGCAAGGAAATCGGCAACAAAACGGGTTCGCGCAAGCGGCCGGAGGGGGAAGGAGTACAGAGCGGAAGGGCCAGACACTAAAGTGGAAGGCTTAATCCTACGGGAGCCTGCGCGCAGTAACCCTTTGGGCGCTGGCGGAGCTCATTGTTCGGCTATCTCGGGGCTCTCCGCGAGCATTGTGGCCTGATAAGTACGTTAGTTCGCGTAGCCCTCTCCCGGCGCTGCTGCTCAATAGGTCATGTCGCTCGCCCGACGCCTGTTTAACCTTGCGATACGCGACGTTAAAACCATTGTCTCGTTTCTCGTTTACCGTGCGCCGCCGAGAATATTATATTTGCGTCGTGCTATGCCGCGCCTTCGATGCCAGACCCAAACAGATTGGTTGTCTAATTAAAATTATTCGACGCTCGCCCACAATGGACACATCAGCGGGGCTCTACTTCTTATTATGGGCAAGATAAGCCATCGAACATTTTCAAGAATGTAAACGCTTGGCTATCCTAGCGATCACCAAAGCAGATAAAAGCGCCAGTTATTTCTCGATGTACCAGTCGTAAAGACAAAAATAACGAGTCCAAGCCGTATCCCCTTGAAACGAAACGATCATTTGAGCATTTCCCAAATAACTTCCAATATATCTGCCGCGACGGGACTTTCATCCTTTTCCGAGCTTCGGAAGTAGCGAGAGAGAGAGAGAGAGAGAGAAGAGAGAGAGAGAGAGAGAGAGAGAGAGAGAGAGAGAGAGAGAGAGAGAGAGAGAGAAACCTTCTGACATTCAATACATACGTAAATATTCAGTGAGCCGAGCCGTGCGCACGGAAAATTTTTCGATTCGAATGCACGATCCCTCGGTCCGTCCCGCTGTATCATGACAAAGTGTCTTTTCGAAACGCGAGCTCGCGTGAAATTTTACTGTTTAATTAAAACGCAGCCTGCTCGCAAAAGCCAGTGAGAGAGGGAGAGAAACCCGCCTAATTACGGCATCTGTATCCCAGCCGCACTGCACGCGCGCAAACAACTTTTTACGTGCGCCTCATCAATCTTCCGGCTCGGAAGCATTTTTCTTTATTTATTTGTTTATTTATTTATTTATTTAATTTCTTCGCAACTCGCGCGCACGCGAAACGCTCGATGTCGCCTTTGCACGATCGCGCGGCCTTATCAGTCGCGTAATTGACGCGTCAGCTAAAGCGCATAGCTCATTAAATTCCGTCGCCCCTCCCACTTCTCTTCTGCCCGGCTCGGATGGCGCTGGAGGCTGGTGTTTGCCTGCCCGGCGTTCCCTTTTGCACTCCGCCAACGTAAAGACGAAAAAGAAAAAAGAGAGCTGCAAAGAGCGCGATCCGCAGGAATGATATGACGACTGCTTCTCGCGAGATAGCTTCTGCCAAAAGACGAGGTGGAAGAAGACGAGGAGGAAGATCGCGTAGTGGTGTGTACACAGAGAACGAGGCCGCCGCGAAAAAAGACGCGCATTAGGAAAAAGAAAACGGGGCCTCGGCTGTTGTGCACGATCACTCGCCAACACACACCCACATGCAAAGTCACAGACGGCCCGTGAAAACGTGACCTCCCCCTTCCTTAACTCTATACGTGCAGCGACCTCTCGCCGGTCCATGAACCATACTCTCGCTCTCTCTCTCCTCTCTGTGCAAAGCCTCGGTAGAGTACATACTCGACATTGCATGCATCCTTCCGCGCTTTATAATATACCTGCAAGACGAAGCGCTTGAAAAAAGAAGAAGCGGCAATAATGCGATGACACCGCGCGATAATGGGAGTGTGAGCGAGCTGGAGGGAGAGCTCGCTAAAGTTTAAATGGGATTGCGGCTGGGAGATCCTTGGGCGTGAAAATTCCCCAAGAGCGTTTTGGCCTGATTGGAGTGGACCGATTTTCGGGGGCGAAAGCAAATGCGAAACCCTCTCAGCTCGATTGTAGTGCAGCCTCGGCCACGCGCCAATTATTATTATGACGCGTCGCGATGATTTGCAAGCTCGCTCGCGCCGGCTCATTTCGGCTATTAATCGACGATCCGATGAGTTTTTCGTTCGACCGAATCGCCTCTCGCTAATTGCCGATCTTGATTTACGCGTCCGACGATACGTACAGCCCACGAAGAGCAAGGGAAAAAGCTCTGCGATGCGCGAGCAATAGATTGCGTTCGCGGCGCAAAGGGACGTCTTTGACCGCTGGCCCTTTGTATCCTTTGGCGCGCTTCCGAGCTTCGCCATCGTAATAATCATAATAATTGTTTCCACTGTCATGGATATTAATCCACCTGGAACATTTTCACGTCGATAGAGAGAGAGAGTCTTATGATTGCATTGTTTCGGAGAAAACAACGAAAAATGCACGAACACAAAAGGCAAACAAGCGCATAGTCTGTCCCCTCGATTAATCGTCGATTATTCAAGCGTCGCGCGAAAACAACGTGCGCACAGACCTACAGCGCTAGCCACGGATTAAAACGCGTTATATAGGCTCTCGTTGTAAATCAATAATCCCGAACAACCAAACGAACGAGAGATAGAGAGAGAGAGAGAGAGAGGAGGGAGAGCGGGAGAGAGCACAAAGCGAGACATTAATAACGGGTTCGAGAGCCGTATACATCGAGTATAGATAAGCATCGTGGCAATTAGCATAGAGTCTCGCGCGCACGCACCAAAAAAAAGAAATATTAAAAATCGCTTTCTACTTTTCATTCATCGCAAGAGGTGCGCGCGACAGTAATCGAGTTGTACGAGGAATTGGATTTCTTGTTATAAGGGTGAAATTTGAATTTTAACTGTGAGCAGTGGCGCAGCGATGGGAATTGCATATATCCCACTGCTGCAAAATTCGTCTCTCTCTCTCTCTCTCTCTCTGAAATGCAGATATGTTTTATTACTCGCTCGCGTTCGCGCGAGAGCGTAATATAACTCGCGATAACAATGTTCATTTGCAAGGGATAAAGTTTAAATGCCGTTAATGCATGCGCGCGCGCGTACGCTGCCCGCGAAAAGTCATCGTTTATTAAAGCTTCGTTCGCAAGTGTTTTTTTAGTATTCGCGACTCTCTTGCCTGACACTTTATGGCCGGCAATGCGAGGGCGTTACGTCGGGATTTCGCGCAATGCATCCAAACGTTTTTACGAGCGTGCATGTGAAATTATCTATCCGAGAGAACAAAAGCCAATCGGAAGGCTTAGGTCCAAGTGGAGCAATGTATCCCTTCTTTCTTTGTAATTCATGATTGCGCTCATTTTCATTATACTTTTACGAGTCTTTACGAAGAACAAGACGCTGGATGAATAATGTTTCAAAGAGCTCGACTCTCTTAACTGAAACAAAGCTAAAGTAATTTTTGCACTTGCTTAAAAAAGTCTCTTACGATTGAAGCGGTCTACGGTCGTGAAACCCGTTGCTCAGTTATTAAAACCATTTTCATTCGGACAAGCTAAACTGATTATATGAAGGAAGCGAACTCTATTCTTTCAATTTTCTTTCCTTGCACACCTCTACGAAAAGAACATTGTACTCGTTTCTTTTTGTACAAAAAGCCCCCACGCGATAATCCGACTTTCAAATCCTAAGGCTACGTTAATCGATGCAGCTCGTTCGTAGGTGATGCGCGCGGTAACAGGTGAAAGCCTTGCACAGCAAGCTTTCTTCTCTCGGCGGCTACGAAGTCGAGGCAGGCTCGCCGCAAACTGGCTTGCCACTGCCATTCTGCGCACTGATACATGTACAGATGGCTCCGAGCTACGATAGTAGCTCCGATACGCATTGTAATTAAGCTTGATTAATACGTCTCAAGTTGCAACTGACGCAGGCGCGCGAGCGCGTTCACCCGTGGGATTCACTCATTTCATGCTTGATTATGCACCGCGGAGGGTGAGAGACGACCCAAAATTTTCCTCTTTCTTTTTGTCGACCTCTTGTTCGAGAGAGCTTCGGCTAAATCGTGGCGTCAACATTTCAATGAATTATTCGAAATCTTTCGGCTGTTAGAGAGAGAGAGAGAATAAAATGGTTGATATCCCCGAGAAAGTGCGCGCTGGAATGATCGTTGCGGCTTACAATAAGAAGATTATCATAAATGACGAAAAGAACCGGTCCTGCCACTTAAACTCCTCCGTTCCTTCATCAAGTTTTTAAGAACTTTTCATCGAAATTTCTAAATCTCCTCGACGTCAGCTCTTCTAGCTCTCTCTCTCTCTCTCTCTCTCTCTCTCTCTCTCTCTCTGTCTCTCTCTCTCTGTCTCTCTCTCTCTCTCTCTGCAGAGCGCGCACGAAAATTTCCGAGCGTGACCCATATCCTGGGTCTGTTTGTTGTTACTTTTGCGAAAGTGGTGGCTTTCAGAGTAAGCGAGTGAGAGAGGTAGAGCTATCGATCCTGGAAAATGAGAACCGACTGCTAACGTCCAAAGCTCGCTTTCGCTAGCTTAACAGCATCGAGCGTCTCTATAGCCTCCTCACGAACCACCCTAAAAATTAGAGTGTTCCCGAAATCAAGTCCCGTAAAAGCTCGGGCGAACTCGCGACGACACAAGCCCTCCAAAGGAGAAGCACGGAAAACTCAAGTAACATTTTTCTCTCTTTGCTTTACTGTTGCAGCGAGAAGCGAAGAAGGAAGAAGGAGCGAGGAACCGAACGTAGAAGCAGCGACTCGTAAAGGGGATCAAGCTGCCTCTGGAGTGCGAATCCCGAAAAAGCAAACGACGAAAAGCCAAAAAGAAGCCAAGATGAAGCTAAGAAGAGTGGATATCGTCGTGGCGTTCGTTAGCCTACAACTGCTATTGTTGACGGGCGGTGGGGCGCTAGGCGAAGGTGGCTTGGAGACGGCTCTGGCTGGTACCATTGGCAATCACAATGGGGTCCGCTGCCCGTGGGCCTGCACCTGCGGCGGCCAGGAGCTCGATTGCGCGCTTCGCGGACTCACCCAAGTGCCCGGCAACCTGGCCGCCCTCACTCTCGCCGAGAAACTGTGAGTATGCGTGCCTTGAGTTTGGATAAACCCAAGCCGTGTCGCGCTCTCAAGATGTACGTGGTGCAATTGGAGAGTCGGCAAACGACGTTACTCCTCCGCCGCCGCCGCCGCCGCCGCCGCCGCCACTCGACTCGGTGCTTCTTCCTGCAGCTAGGCTATATACAGCCACGGCTCGCGTTCCGCGGATGTCGCTGTTATGCGGTCTGCCTGTGACGCGGATAACCCAGCCCCCTCGCCGGCTCCTTTGCTTTCTTTCCTCTCCTTCGTTTCGGCTACAGACAGACGCGCGCCAGTTATTTGTTGTTGCAAAGTGTGTGGTGACGCCTCGTTAAACTCTGCCTCCCACTTCGATTTTCCTCTTTCCCTCGCGCCACCAGCCCGCACTTGCGACACACGCTTCGAGTGGCGCGCAACGATACGAGTCGTTTGCCGAAGCTTGCAATTTCGGACATCAGCAATTACAAATCTTGCAGCTCGATACCGAGCGGCTTCCATTCCCATTTTTGATTTGTTTTATCGGCGCCTTTTATTGCCTAAGCTAAAAGTGACCGGCGGACCAGAGATAAGGCCGCGCAATATTCGTAATGGAAGGTCGAGAGGACATTTCGATTAAAGAATAATGCCCGCGCGCTTAATGCTTCGGCGCCAAAAATGGAAAATTGATGACTGCTCCGCGTGGCGATAATCGAAAACGGCCTTTCTGCTCCGGTAATCATTTATATTGTTCAGACGAAAACCTCTTTTCGTTATATAGCAGCGGGTAGCACTCGCGCGGTTTCGGTATCTCTATCTGCTATCGCTTATACACATAGAAAGGTGCGCGTCTAACGCAGTGGAAGCGGGAGAGAAGCGAGACGATAAATCGGATTTATCGTTGGAAATCGATCGGTTAAACGTAATGAAAACGTGCGGGACAAGCGTAAATAAAGGCGTAATCGGTAGTGGTCGATCGCTCGCTCACCTCTATAAGCGCCGTGTTGGTTTTTACAAATTTTTTAACGCGCGGAGAGAAATCGGGGTCACAGACCAATCATTGCTGTACGCGGTGTACAAATTACAGTCTTTTCCGCGTGGCGTTCGATTTCCGAACCGCAAATCATGTAAAGTCGCTGGTTACGAAGAAAAAAAAATAGAAAAACAGAAAAACAGGAAAAAAGAAAAAAAGGACAAAGAAACAAGCGGAATACGCGTACGAACGGCTAAAAGCTGCAAGGAGGAAAATGGAAGCGCGAAAGTAGCATCGCCACTAAAATCCCGCCGACAGATCCGAGGAGAGAGCGAAAACTCGATAAGATAAAGGCGGAACGGCTCGTCGTCCAGACGGCTGGCGTCCATTTTATGTATTGGTGACCGTCGTCTGCGGGGGCAGAGGGAAAAAAATGAAGCTGTTTACGAAAGAATTTTCACCGATACCAATCGCGACACACTACTTAGCCGCCTGTAAATCGGAGAAGCATCGCTAATGGCTTCGTAATTATGGTCCGAACTACAAATTGCCTGATATACTTTTTCCGTGTTAGACATCCACTTGAGAGTCCATGGTCGTTTCGTCTTTTTTTTACGGCTTTGAATTTTTGATGGCTCTTTTCTTCCCACAAGACTTCTTAATGTATTTTCCTTTTTCTCCTCTTTATCGATGCTCTCAACATTGTCGCGCGTGTTTTTGTCATTAGCCTGCACGTGGCAAACTTGAAACACATCGTCGAACTTGCCTTGACTTTCCTCAGACGTGGTATGGAAAGTGTCTCTCTGTCAAAGTTAAATTACGCGTGACGCGCGCGCGCGAAAAGTTGCCGCGAGGAAAAATCTTTTGAATTGGAGCCTTCCCCCCATTTCCGCCCCAACGACGGAGTTCAACATTTCATCTTCAGAGTTTATCCAGCTGTGTAAGAAGGAAGGAGCGTCAGAAAAAAAAAAAAGTCGTCGCAACTCTTTCCACCGAATTTTTCGCCAGAGAGAGTATTTTTGCAGACATTCGACACCGAGTTCCCGAATAGTTGCCTTTCCCAGTCTCCGCCTCGTAACGAAAAGTCCAACAAAGGGACCCTGTGCTCGCGCTCTCGGGCATATTTTTGAGAAATTATTTTTCTTTGGAAAATTTTTCTCATTACCGGTTTCAACAAAAACTTTTTTATATACGCGCGTGCAAGCTCTCATGGTTCACCTACCCTGAATTTAAATTTTAAAACGATGTCGTACTTTTCGCGCAAGGCTGTTAACTTCCTTTCTTCGTTCGTGCCTTTGGACTTTGACGTTTTAAATGTACCATTATTCCGCTGATAAAAAAAGACTAAAATGAAAGCGCCTATTACTTTATATTCTATGGCCTTTTTCTATCGTATGCGCATTAAAAACAAGTGAATTATAAGGTCGCGATCGTTAAGGAGGCATATTTGTCAAACGTCGTCATCTGCTTTCCAACTGTGCCTCTTCAATAAATAACTTATTTTAATAAGCGCGTCGTCATAAATTTTCGTATTAAGAGAAAAAGGAAAAAAGAAAAGCTTGGCTCGTCTTTAAAGTACTTAAAATTTTTAAGCTTTCGACGAGATATATAACTCAAGCCCTTTTGTTCGACAGTCTTTTAACTCGTTAAAACGCCCGACATTATTCGCGTAATGTCAGAAAAAAGTCTCGGCCGAATAATTTATTATACATAGATTGGAGAAAATGTTGATAAATTTGCGGCATATGCCCGCATGTTTGCATCCCCGCAAAGCATCCAATAATTCAGATTGATCATCTGTCGCGTCTGTGCGCCAGTGCTCGGTCTAGCAGTCTCTACCCTAAATTATCCTTATATCAAGTCGCCCTATACCCACGGGAAAATACGTTTTTTTAACGATTTCCACGTCAAGTTTTAAATTCATTGGCCGAAGCTTACACTTGCAACACGCGTAGAAGAAAAATGAGCGCTGCAGAAAAGATCCGAGCAATTAGGATTAAAGGCGTTTATATATCCAATTTGTCGGGGGCAGGGAGAGAATCCCCGTGTAGACTGCAATTCTGAAAAGATAAAACGTCTAGGCGTCGTACGGCCGAGTGAGGGCCGAAAAACGTCAGTGAAGAGAGAACCCCTTGCATAACACATGCGCACATGCGGGCAGGGTAAACACAGACGCTCTGCGCTCTCTCCTCTCTCTCTCTCTCTCTCTCTCTCTCTCTCTCTCTCTCTCTCTTAATCCGACAATGAATTCAGCACTGCTCTCTCGCTCCCTGGACTCTACTCTGCCAGAGCCGAGCTGCTCTTTCTTTTCTTCCCCATATTCGAGTGTGTGCCTGTGCTGCGCGCTTCAGTTTGTTAACGTTTTCAAGAGCCACCTCACCCCTTTTTTCTTTCGACCATGCGTATGCACAAACAAACACGTGCGCACGCGCACGCGCACGCAAAAAGATATCGCTTTTATTATTACGGCTACTTTTTGGAAAGAGAGAAAGTTGATACTCTTCCGTGTATAAAATATAATGTTTACTCACATTTGTATGAGCCTTAAGGTATAGGATTTGAGTCCTTCCATCTTCCGTAAGCTGCTCGCTGCAAGTCTCGCTCTCGCGATAAGTATGCGGATTTAAAACCTCTTGCTTTACGCCAAATCCGCTTAGGCCACCTTCAAGATTAACCTTTTTCTCTCGTTGCAAGGGATTTTTTTTAAATCTTTTCTCTGGTCTGAAACAAAACGCCACGTTAGGTGTAAGTAGGGTTTGAAGTATATTCGATAAACCAACGGAAACCTACGCACATTTATACACGGCTGGGAGATTTCATGCATATATGCAATCGGTTTTCTCGCTCTCTCTTTCAGCTTTTTTTTGACATCACAATGTCCTAATGGTTAAGCAGCGCTGATTGATCGGGGCAATCGGTCACGTGACTTGTCCAATCAGGTTACGAGGCTTTTTTCTATGTGTACGCGGACGCGACGCGCCAAGGGGAAGATTAAACGCTTTCCATTTGCATACGTAGATTGGATTACACATCTGTTTAATAAGGCAAGAGCACACAAACTGTTTATTTACGTGATAACGCGCAATAATTCGATATATACAAGCGCAAAGCCCTTCGTGCGTGCGCCTCACTGGCTCTTGATTAAAAACGAAAAGGCTACATTATTGACGCATTACGTGACGCAACGTATGTTCATGCTATCGATCGACTTTCTCTCTCTCTCTCTCTCTCTCTCTCTCTCTCTCTCTCTCTCTCTCTCTCTATGTTGCACGTGTTTCAACATAAAATTCTCGTGCAATTATAAGTAATTTGTAACGCAATGCGCGAGAGCCTCCCCTTTTCACACGTACATACGTCTTTCACCCCTCCTTATATATATGCAGTATATAACAATTTGGGGACGGGCGACATATGCGCCGCGCGGAGCGATGTATTAGGATATGCGGCGATTCGATATATCTCTCTGGGCGAATACATATATATCTGTACGTGTGTGTATGCAGTAATGTGCGTGGGTTCTCTCTCTCTCTCTCTCTCTCTCTGTCTCTCTCTGTCTCTCTTGCTTTTGTTGTTCGTGCGTGCCAAAGCAGTATAGCAGGGATTAGCGACATCCGCGTGAGCACGTACGATATAACCCATTGTTTTCGCTCTTTGTCCCCGTATATACACCTACAACGATGCCGCTGCGCATTTTTATTCTATTTTTGTTCCCGCCTGCCCCGCAATGCGATAACGCGACACGCCATTTTTGTCATTCTCGGGGGCCCGGATTTTAAATGCGAACTCGCGACTAACCGAGCGCTTAGCGCGGCGCCGCGCCACCCGTGCGCACATCCGCGCGACGCGCCAGACATTGCTTGATTTAATTTGTCCGAGCTCGTAGCTAATTGGTCAACCTGGCGCGTTCTTGCCGCCGTCGTCGCTTCTCTTGCGCGCGCGCGCGCGCCAATTTGCATTCAACTTCTCACATTCAGCTCCCACCTGCGCCGAGTAACGCCTTGATTAAGTCAACGCTTAAACGCTTAAATTTTAATGTCGCGGACGGCTGGCCAACACACTTGTACTTTGTTTTTCTAAACGTCGCGCGCGGTCGCTCGATCACCGGCACTTCTGGACTCGAGAGAGCCACTTTTGATTTTTACGCGCGAGAGAAGCGAAAGTGCGCCGCGAGGACGTGAAATGTTTAACTTTCAAATTTGGATGTCGCGCGAGCGCGCGAGAGACTCGCGCCAGCACTCTAAAGATAAAAAAAGCAAAAAAACAAAAAAAAAAATTTTTAACGCAAATCCCCGCGCGCAAAAATAAATCACAAAGCCAGGCGCGCGCGCGGAAAACGTTCGCGTTACAAAAGTTTGCACTTTTGCGCTAATCTCCGCGGAGCATTGTCGTCGTAAAAAAGTGAGCGAGAGAGAAAGAGAGAGAGAGAGAGAGCGAGAGAGCGCGCGCACGATAGTGGAGAAGAGGCGGGCATAATTTATGCGTCTGCTCGACGCGATCGAGTGTCTAATCGATATTTCAATTACTTTCTATCAAACTCGCTTAGTCAGATGTGCTCGAGCGTAGATGCGCGCGCTGATGTTTGCACGTCGCTCACCATTTTTCGATGCCCACTTTAGTCCCCCCTCTCGTTCCTTTCCCTCTGGCCGCGTTAGCAGCGGCAACCCTATCCCTTGCGCATGGGAAATTAGAAGCCCGCTACACGCCATCGTTCCCATGTATATTGGACGAACTACGGGCTTTTAGCAAGCTTGGCACGGATACACCCCGTCGGCTGCTACGTGCGTCACGTCTTCCATGGAGGAGAGCGTAGCGCGACAGCGACATGGCGAAAAGCAAGAAGAGGGAGCAGGAAAAGAAACGACGTAGACGTATTGCGCCCTCATCTTTATATATACATGCACTTTGTTCCCGATATTAGCTTGTATTATATTTTTCACCTCGTCTCGCTCTCTGTAACATTGTTATTTGCGCGCGCCGTCTTTGCATGCGACAACGCCGTTTCGATTTCGATTCGATTATGCTCATTTCGTGTTCCGTCATTTTTCGCCAAACACATTCCATTTGCCAGTTGGAACTTTCGATTTCTGCAATAGCAAAAGTATAGACAAAAGCGAAAGAAACTCGCTTCTTGCCTGCAATTTCGTAATCGTTATATTTTATCGACAGCATTCATACAAAATTACGAGTGAATGACAGTGCAAATATATGTTGCACACCTGCAATTTACACTTTCATCAATGACGCGTGATGAATGTAAATGTCCTGTGCGCGCAGCAATATTGGATTTCCGGAGGAGGGAAATTTGCTGAAATTTTAATAGAACAAAAAAAGGTGGACGAATGACAGACAGAGAAATGTTTGCTAGGAGCGCTATATGCGCCACGGTAAACAGGACTTTTACGCTCGGAAATCCAGCACGAGAGAGAGAGAGAGAGAGAGAGAGAAATACTTAGGCAAAACTTTAATATTTTTTACGACTAGCGCACGCGTAGGTATATAGCGTGCCCGTCGTATGAAAAATCATAAACAGCGCGGAGCGAGCGCTGCTTTTCCTTATTTATCCTCGAGCCCTGGGCAGCGAAAAAAGTAAAATAAACGAATTCTCGGCATTTTAGCTATTTGAACTCTTTCATAAGCGGCAAAAATGTCGCTCGCCGAGTCCACCACTGCAAAAAGAAGTAGAATAAATACAATTATTATAGCCTCGACCGCGCGACCACGGCTTCGTTCCGTGCGGATATCGATTCTGCGCGATTTCTTAAAGTTTCTTTACTTAGCATCATGCTGTTTTCACTCAACAGAAAACCTAAAATATTGTATATTGGAAAAATTACCGGAAATTCGATTACAAAATAATTGCTCCAAGGTGTTCTAAATCAAATATTTTTGTAGGAATTATATATTTCTGAGCAATAATATTTGTTAAAATATCTGGCCTTACGTCTTTTTACAGATGTATTTGTTAGATTTATCTGTAGAAAGACGTAAAGCCAAATATTATTTTGTTGTTCAAGATAGTGGTATTTGATTGTTCGCGTTCAACAGAAAAGCATGCACTTGTGGGAAATTGATCTGACCATCTGTTAGTATGAAGACATTGACGAGATATACTCGATATATAGAGCCAAGTGATCCGCCAATGACAGTCGCCAGTTATTGTCTTATCTCTTTTCGTCGCGCCGAAGAGTTTGGCGCCCAGGATATCGATTCGCCTCGTCGTCTGCCTCCGTGTACACATAGGACAAGTCGCACGAGCAAGTTTGATAACGCAATTACCATCTCTTTGCCGTCGTTTAGAAGCTCGCCCAGAAATGGGACATTTTTTCCCCTCTTCTCCGCGGGGCGAAACTCGTTTTGCATAATTCCGTCGCGCGGGACGCTAAGAGCTGGCTGCTGCCGAATGATTTTCGCGCGCCGTTCCGAAAAATTTTTCGGATGCCAACGCCGAAATCAATTTAAAAGTGTATAGGTATATACACGCCCCACCGAGTCGCGGGGGCAGGGGTACGTACAGTATTATTCCTAGCACGTAGGCTTTCCTCGTCTTCTTTTTTTTTTTTTTTCGCGTGAAAGCGCGTTATTGTGGCTTCCTTCGGAATGAAGCTTCGATCGGCGAACCGAGCTTTCATTGTCGCCCGCTTCGAGCGTGAGGCTTTTATCGCTCCCCTGAGCTTCGCTTTTTTCTGTGCGCCCATTGTGTTCATCTATCTCGCGATCTGGTACTCCACAACATCCCGCGCGCGCGATGAGGCTACTTGCTAATAAACACGAACACTGAAGTTGAAAAAAAAGCTGAAAGCAAATGGTGGCCCTTGAAATTCATTGAACAGCGCGAGTTCGCTCGAGAGAGAGAGACAGACAGATTCACAAGCCGCTGAAAATCAATAACCTTCATCTCCCTTGCAACTATATATGCAATATCATCGCTCTTAATTCGTCTCTCTCTCTCTCTCTCTCTTTCGCTCGCTTCTAATTCTAAATGCAGCCGAGTCGAGAGTGGAAAGAGCTGTTTACTCTCTAAACGACTACGGCAGCGGTCGAAAGTTTTTATGCTATCCGCTCTTTCTTTGGAGATTCATAAAGTGGCGCTTGCAAAAACGGAATCAATAATTCGATAGCCCCGCACATCACTTCATCGTTTTCCTCCTCCATCCAGCGGTGGTTGCAAACCGTTATTTTTCTCTCTCTCTCTCTCTCTCTCTTTCTCTTTTTTTATTTTCCTCAACGTTGCCTCGAAAGCGACTCGACGTTGCGGTGGAGGAAAATAGCAGAGCACCGCTTCCGGAGGGTGTTTAAATAATTTTTCGCCGCGGAACTAAAAGGACCGGCAAGATGCCTCCTTCTCCTTTTCTCCTTTTCCTTGCCACGCACACAGACTTTTTATCTGATCTCGCGATACGCTCATCTCGAAAGCTGTGCAGACGTTGACTTTTCCGTTGATTAATGTACGCCGTAAACACGCGCGTCATTGAATTAAACATTCGGGCGAGCTTTGGAGTTATGCGAGAGACGACGACGAGGCTAATTAGCGCTGATTCAACTGCTAGACGACGGCGGTAGCTGACGAGAGCGAGCTCTCAAGAATTTCATTAATAACTTGCTGCGTTCACGAATGGATGAAGGGCAAATGACGATCTCGTTTTTCTCTGTTGCAGGGATCTGCAGGGCAATAACATCTCCGTCATCTTCAAGACTGACTTTGAAGACATGGCCACGCTTCGATTGCTGTGAGTACACGAATGCTTGAGATGTTTCGCAAACTGTGTGCATTTTCATCGCGCAGTTGATCATGGAAAGTCAATTTGATCAATAAGAGTTAGGAAAGAGAAATGCTCACTCGGCGAGTGGTAGGTCACTTGCTGCAACGCTGTTGGGTATTTATTAATAAACGATTGATTTACGACCAATTAACGTTTATAATTGATGATACATCGAAACAGATACGATGCACTGGGAGTAATTGATATTCATTCCAGTGAGCGTCTCAGCTTTGGTATATCAATCATTAGTTTCATCGGAATTCATTGGATATCCAAGCCCATTGTCCGTTGAAAATTCAGATGAAATTCAAGAGAATAGTCGGGAGAATCGGGAGAATAAGAATAAAAAAAAACGAAGAGAAGCAAAAATTACGCACATATATCGGTTGCAGCTGTACACGCAGATGCCGTCGAATGCTTTCAATAAAAAAGATTCGTCGAAATCGGCTTAACGAATCAAACATGCCTCTCTCATATATATCGGCGATTTATTCCTGTCACGTTCTCTGGCATTTCAAAGAAGCGCCTGAATATCCATTTTAAATCAGCATTCATCTTTCGGCCGAGTATATCGAGGCGGAAGGCCGGCGCGCGCAACCTATATGCGTAATAAAGGCACGACGAGCGGCAGCCAGCGGTAAATACGTTAGGGCGTCGCTCCTTCTCAAAAGAGTATCATCAAGTCCAATGTCTTTGAAGTCTCGATCGCTTTCACGTGCAATTTAGAACCTGACGTCAAACACGCTGCCGCGTAGTAATCGAATCAAAAATATCTCGGTGAACGCGCCACGCTCACTATCCGCCACATGCACAGCCGAGCTGTATGGCTTTCAAAGAGCGGCATTTTTCTTCTCGCGGAAAGAGAAATCCGGTGCGCGGCGAATGCATCGCCGAGCTGCATATCAAATTCCTGCGATACATATACACGCACACACGTGCGCGGCCGACTGCTGCTTATTGATTCGGAAGTTGCTGCGATTGCAAGCCTCCTCGCGATAAAAAGCCTTCGCCTCGATATTGCATTTTCGTAAATATTGCCAAGGCTATTTTCGAGCGTGAAATTCTGCGAGATTTAACATTCCAGGCGCTGTACATACGCGCGCCGTAGAGCAACCTCGCTACTTGCACTTTTTCGACTTTTTCGATCCCAAGCTGCAGTGGCTCCTTTTTTCCCTACTCTGCTCTTTCTTTTTCTTGCTTCTTCGGGCATTTGCGATAGAATCTAGGTCAGTCGTGGGAATTGATATGTCAGCGAGAACGAAATGAAGAAAAAAATAATGGCGATCTATGCGTATGAAGCGCGGGCTAAGCGTCCTCGACTGGAAAATCAAAATTTGTGGTTCAGACGTTTCCCGCCACTGCGGGCATTTTCATTCAGCTTACAACTTCTGGACTGCAATTTCCAGAAGTTACTTTCACTTTGTATAGTCGGTTTGATCAAAGTCAAAGAATACACCTACCGCTGCTTTTCAAGTAATACCGAGATAGTTGAAAAGTCTCCTTTTGTGCTGAAAGCTCTTAAGGCCCCCTCTCCATCCATCGATATTCATAGATATACAGACAATGGAGACATTTCGCCTCGACGTGCCACCGATCGCTTGCTTAAAATATATGTCAAAAGTGTTCGAAAAAGTTATCATTGACAAAGTAGGTTCGTACCAAGGTTCGTGCGTCTAATTAATCTTGGAATATTTTGAGCAGTGATTTCTTCGCGAAAACAAATTTTTAAATCAATGACGTGTCTCAGGCCAACTTGCTGGTGATTTTTTTTTTTTTTTGAGAAGAAACCACTGCTCAAAACCATCCAGGATTGATTAGTCGTATTCTAGGTACGAATATTTTTCGAAGATCATTTTTTTCGGGCAACTTTGATTTATATTTCAGGCAAACGATTGGAGGGAAGACACAAACCAAATTTCTCCATTGACTGTATATCTATGTATATCGCTAGGGGGCCCTTAAGCGCGAAAATAACGTCTAACCGCGAATCAAACGAATACTATTCGGCTGTATAATGCCGCGTAAGTTTGATATAGCAGTCAAATGATATCCCTTCTCTTCTCCCCTCTCACGATCGACAAAGTTTATCGCGTATTCATACCGTTGAAGAAGCTATATTGGTTTCCGAGAATTTGCAAATTTAATCATGGCTCGCCCCGCTTATCCCTCTACTCTTAGAATCCACTTACGTAGACAAACGTTTGATCAAACAGAATGGAAAAGAAAGACGCTGGCGATGCACGTGCGCATAAGAATTTCTTTTTTTTAATAACTAATGCACTCACTCGCTGGCAATCCAATCTCTGAAAGAGAACAAAGAAATTTCATTTATTTACTGGGCGGACCGTGGAAAATAGAAGTGAAAATTCTCGAACGAAAGCCCGGTCGCGAAATTTCATCGCACGTAGTGGCGGTCGCGGCGTCTTGCGCGCGTCCGTTCGCGAAAATGACTTAGCGAGCTTGTCGTCCGGCTGCTATATATATATATATATATATATATACATATATATATATATATATATATATATATATATATATATGTGTGTGTGTGTGTATATATACACGTGCGAGAGTGCGATCGATCGGACATACGCGATACTCAATTAAAGTCATAGCCCGGTCGTGGTTTCGACGTATTAAGTGGATACACAGCAAAGTTTTCGGTCGCTCGAGAAAAGTATCCGATACTGGGAGAGCAATTGCATGTTCATTCGAAACAATTAAACGTCGATTCTGCACGCCGCACTTGTCCCAACTTTAGCCTCATATGAGCAGCTTTGCACTCCCCTTTCTCTCTCCCTCTCTATCGCTTCGCTTCGTTCGCGCGCGCGTTGCAATTGAAACATAGTATGACCTATATTACAATATTGAGCTCTCTTGCTCTCTATTGGATTGGCTTTAGTGAATTTTCCTATCAAGGATTATTGGCTTCCTTTGTCGATCCCGATTTTAATAAAATTCACAATAAATTTCATCGTTTCCACGGCAGTATTGCACCTTCAGAAAATTCTTGCTTGTTTGAACCAATTTTTTCGGCTTCAGATAATTCCCTGCAATTGCCGCTCGAGACAAATAATTTCAAGTCCCTACGATCTATATAAAGCACAACTGTCGTGTAGCACATTTTTTTTCTCTCAAGCTCAAGCTTTTCCACGAATTTCACCGTGAACGAGAAAATAATACCCTCCTTAGCGCGTAAAATTTCATCAAGTGCACGACAAGAAAGCGCTAATCGCAGACTCTGAAAAAATAAAGGGGAGCTGTTCGGCGTTCGCCTTTCTCGCCAAAAACAAAAATGACATATAACGCAATTTTAAAAACTCTTTGAAGTGGCCAACTGGTCGTGAATCAACTGCCGCGTGCATTATACTATCTGGCAGCTTGTTAACTATTGTTCATTTTGCGAACAAGAAGGAAGAATCAACTTTTTTTTTCAATCAAGCCGCGCATACTGCCGCCGAGTTGACTGGTTTTAATGAGTTTGCCCGCGCACTAACGAGATGAGTTTTCGTTCTGTCTGCAGGCAACTATCCAACAATCAGATCCACACGATCGAGCGCGGCGCCTTCCAGGACCTTGTCAGCGTGGAGAAGCTCAGGCTCAACAACAATCACATCCGCTTTCTACCGGATCTCCTCTTCAGCAACATGATGAATCTTAAGCGGCTGTGAGTTTCCAATTCATCGATCCAACCATCCGTCGTACCCATCCTCATGATTAATTACGTATCTTGCTTGCTTTCTTTCAGAGATCTCAGTCACAATCAAATTGCGATGATTGGGCCGAAAACGCTACGGGGCATCGCGTCGTTAAAACATTTGTAAGCCAACGAGCACGAACAAAGCAATTGACAATGAAAAAAAATTACATTGCAAACAATTTCCATTTGTCCGTGTCGATTGAAGTCGCCGCGCCGCGCGCTCACTGAGGATTTATAGAGTATCGACAGTCTCGTTACACTGCTGCTGCGCAGCGAGAGGGAAAAAAGGGCGTTAACAAGGGTGTCGAGTGGCGTAATCAATTGATACCTATTCACAATCGACTAGCCCATTTCCCATTAAAAGTTTGCCTCTCGTCGAGGAAAATAAAATCACCTAGCATTGTGTCAATAACAATTGGATTTGCTTATACGCGTGGAATCGTTTGCGTCTTTTTTTTTCGTAACGAGTTCAATCGACGGTGCAACGACCATTATGTTTTTTCATTAAACTTTCTTTGACGACTGCAGGCTGCTCGACGACAACGTGCTGAGTTGCATCGACGAGGCTGCCATACGCGAGCTGAAGGAGCTTGAAATCCTGTAAGTAAAAACCTAACGCCTCTGAATCTGTTTTATTCCTCGAGTTGGGGGTTGGGTTGGGTTGGGAACTAGTTTCATTGATATTCGACGCCCGGATATAACTGATTGTTAAATGGGGGGAAAAAGGTAGTAAGACTTTATTGCAGATACCGATGTGTAAAATTACGGAAGTGCTCAAATATTTACATTATTATATCGAGGCTCGTAACGGTTATTAGTGTACATCGAGCAAATATACGCAAATGCGTTATTGAATTGGTGCGCGTATTACAGCTGTGAATTTACACAACACTTGAAACGCTTACGAAAATAGCACTCGATGCAGGAGAAAAAAAAGCAGTTATTTTTAGCCGAACATAAAATGACGTTTATTCGCAACCGCGATAATGTTTATTGGATTATACTCGCAATCAGTCCGTGGATCCAAAGAACCCAGTTTCCCCTCTGAATCGAATGACAAAAAAAAGGAAGATACAGTCGACAGCTCCGGTAAAAAGCCATCGTACCCGCGTCACTCAAAAAACAGAAAAGGAATTGTCAAAGCTGTCATCTCTCTCTCTTTTCTTCCAGAACACTCAATAACAACAAGCTGACAACGTTGGGTAAGGACGTGTTCACGGGCCTAGCGCATCTGCGTACACTGAAACTGTCAGACAACGCGTTCACGTGCGATTGTCACCTGGTCTGGTTATCGCGTACGCTCAAGACGTTCTCGCGCTTGGGTCAGAACACGAGATGCGCAGCGCCAGCTCATCTCAAAGGCCAGAACCTCGTCGATCTGCAGGTACTTGAATCTTTGCCAAAAAACATTTTTCCCCGCTCCCTGCAAAAAGCCTCTTATCAGCGAGAAGGGGACATTAATGGGCGTCGACGACGACAGAGAGAGAGAGAGAGAGACAGTCTCCTTGGGAATTCGTAATTATAGAGAAAAGATTCCACGATTTAATGCAGATTAGCCTCGTTTTGAAAGCGCGCGGTTCACAGTATTACTGTAATTGGGCTTGTTTCGCGAATATGCCGCGCCGAAACGCTTATCGCCAGCGACCTAATTTTTGGACCAGGCAAAAGCTGATTATATCTCTTCAACTCGAGCTATTTGCCGCCGAGAAAGAGGCTGATTAATTGTTTTAGCAGGCTCCCGGTGAGTCCTAATTTCATTTGATTTTGCTGCGCTCCAATAGCTTCAGTTTGCAACACATTTAATTACGATAAATCTCTCGAATGCAGGGTTCCTGTTAATGTCTTCTCGACGGGCTTCCAGAATAGCAGTTCCAAGTATTTTAGCTGTCGCGAACCGAACTAATTTTAAATCGAGCCTGGAAAACCTTTGGGAGTTGACTTTTTATCCTCGACAGTCGCAAATCTTAAAACTTAGCGTGTCTTTGCATGTTCAATCCATGAATGGTTAATCAAAAGGATGATTGATATAGAGCGTGATTTATCGCGAAGTGCACGACGACCCACATATACCGTATCAGCAAGTCAAGTGGTTGAATCCTCAAATAAATCCTCAGAAATAGCCCCGTAAACATCATGTTCCACGTCACTCAGTCGCACTCGCATGTGTTTATTTATCGATGCTCAGCGACGCGCTGGTGGTCTTTGACACATGCACGAACGATTCTCTTCTTATTATAGGAGCACGACTTCAAGTGTTCGGGTCTGGTCGAGAAGCCGAGTTCGGAGTGTAGCAGCGAACCGTCTTGTCCACATCCGTGCCGTTGCTCGGAAGGTATCGTCGACTGCCGTGAGAACTCGCTGACTCGGGTACCGACTTACCTACCCGAAGACACCGTCGAGCTGTAAGATACTCTATATATCTATACAAATTTTCGGGACAAGTGCACGAGAATTCGTTTCTCTGCTGGCATCGTGAGAGAGAGAGAGAGAGAGAGAGAGAGAGAGAGAGAGAGAGAGAGAGAGAGAGAGAGAGAGAGTGCAACGGTCTGATGGTGGCTTGTGAATTTTTCAGACGGCTCGAGCAGAACGGCATCACTGAGATACCAGCCAAGGCGTTCTCACCCTACAGGAAGCTACGGAGAATGTAAGTGCGCAACATTCAACTCTCTGCCTCTCGCTCGCTCTACGTAGACAGATCGATTTTGCCCGTGCCCCCATTGCTATGTACCAATGTGATTGACGCGCTCTGTAGGTAGTCTTTACACTCGTGAGAAATTAATCAACTTGTCTCCAATGCGACAAAGAGATGTTTCGCTCTAGTTCATTCATTAAAGCGTTTCGCCGACGGCGACTACTCTATCTCTTGCTTCATTTTCCGCCTGCCGGTGAATCATCGATCGGACCACCGATTTATCCGGGCATTGTTTAACCATTGCGTCATCCGAGTGCTTTAATTATTCAGTAACAAACGATCGCGTGTGTCACCCGAATCAGGCAGACTTTTCATTAGGATAGTGCTTCTTAAGGGAATTCAGCCGGCGCCACTGTCGTTTGGCGGAATACGCATTTGGAGCCGCGAAACGAGCCGCAACGCATGGCGCGTGATTTTTGTTTGTCGAAAAATTCTCGAGAAATCAATAGGCACAGGTGATTGACGACGCGCGATTGCTTTTCTTCTCCTTTGCAGCGACCTGAGCAACAACAAGATCCGCAAAGTAGCGGCGGACGCGTTCCACGGCCTCAAGTTCCTCGAGTCTCTGTACGTATGAGCTTTGCTGACTTATCGGCCGCTCGCCCATAAAGCCTCCGAGCCTTTAACCTCTCAACTTTTCGATGTTCGCCTTTTTGCAGCGTGCTGTACGGCAACAAGATAACCGAGCTGCCGTCGGGCATATTCCAAGGCCTAACGAATCTGCAATTGCTGTGAGTACATCTGGCGACCGACAGTCGCTCGTGGCGCGCGTTCACCGGGCGCTTTATTATTTGCAATTTGTTGCAGGCTGCTTAACGCAAATGAGATCTCGTGCATACGCACTGATTTGTTCCGCGACCTGTCGAGCCTCACGCTGCTATCGCTCTACGACAACAACATCAAGTCGCTGAGCAACGGGACCTTTGCCAATCTGCGCAACATCAAGACGCTGTGAGTACTCTCTCTCTCTCTCTCTCTCTCTCCGCGCATACCTGCGTTTCTATCGACGATCCGGAGAGATTTTTCCCTGTCGTAAAGTTGCCGGGTTTAATGCCCATCTGCATGTACAAACTGAGATTTGCGCCTTCTTTTTTTCCGAAAATAGGTTTTTCGAGCGTAATCTTGCTTTTTATGCGTTTAAGCCGCGAAAATGTATAATTTATATACAAGCACACACACATATATATGTATCTCGGATTGCTAACTTGCTTCGCATTAAGCTGCTGCTGCCATTTTGAAAGGATAAATCTCATTTTAGCCTTGTCTCGCATACCTACGACGAATTTATGAAAAAAGCTTTCGCCATCATTATCATTGTCAGTCTGACGGTTTTAAAAATATTCTGATTTACAATCGAAAGCGATACATCGTCGAATATCCAGCTGTGAGCATAATAATAATGGAATATAATCTTAAACATAAAATCACGTTGATTATCGAGTTGCATGGTTAAAACGTAAAACGCAAGAGGATAAATTATTATTACGTGAGTGTTTCGCGTTGTCGTCCGTGATGAAGTTTCATAATCTTTTAAAAGGTGAAGCAAAAAAGAAGAGCGACACGCACGATCGCCTCCTTAAAACGCCATTAAAATCACACGGAACGAATCTCTCTCTCTCTCGCATTATTTTCTGCGCACGGAACAACAAGAAAATTCTTTCTCTTTTTTTTTTCGTCATTTTATCTCATTCGCACGAGAGAGTTCCGCGATGTCGTAAATAAGCCAGGTCCTCCGGTGTACACGGGCGCACACGCACGCGCCGTATAATTGCCGAAAAAGAGGGGAAAAAAACGAGCGCGAAGAGTTGTACACGCCCACGCATTCTTTCTCGCATCGTCCTCGATAATAATGAGGGCACGAACAAGAGAGGAAGACAGAGAGAGAGAGAGAGAGAGAGAAAACGATGTATGTTGTTGCAGGCACTTGGCGCGTAACCCCTTCATTTGCGATTGCAACCTGCGTTGGCTAAGCGAGTACCTGCACAAGAATCCGATCGAGACATCGGGCGCAAGATGCGAATCGCCAAAGAGGGCGCTCAAGAGGCGTATCGACAACATGCGCGACGACAAATTCAAATGTAAGGGTAAGCACGCAACTTCCATCAAACCAATCTCTTTTATTATGATTTCTCTGGGATGCTGATGATATGCCAGCGATGACGTGTAATAATAAAACAAATTAGCGGATATATCTTACACGAGACGTGTGCCTGACAAAAGGTTGGTCAATTTGTGCGCACACACATCCATCCACATATCCCACAAGTCAATAATGTGCCCATATAGCTTGCATTATGTATCATCTCGCTGCTGCCGCCACGCAGCTACCTTCCTTTTTCTTGTTGAACGCTGATTTGTCGTCTCTCGGTTTTGACATACTTTACGGGCGCCCACGGAGCGATGAAGAATTGCTGCGCGCGCGCGCGGCTACTCTCCTTTACTTTTCCTCGCGTGCACGCGTGTGTTTGGTTATTCATCGAGCGGCTGAATTATGAGCTTGACAGCACACCAGTTTCTCTCTCTCACTTTTTTCCTTCAAAAAAATTGAATGTCAAGAACGTCGACCTACCGCGCCAACATTATTTTCTCATTAAGGATTGTTGTTCTCTTCTTAACTTTACTTCTCGGACAGCGTTAGCACACACGACTCACGAGGTTATAAATGGTTTTGAAAAGTTGATGACAGTCGCGCATCGCTTTGAGCTTTCACTTTTCGGAGGCATCGTTTTGGTGTAAAAGTTTCGTTCGCTCCTAAAAACTTTGGGTATGTTGCTCGAACGACTTATCAAATTCGACATGATTGATGACTTGTGCGTAGATGAATTTTCAAATGTCGACTTGTCACTGAACTTGCGAAAATAACGTTCGTCCAGCGGTAAGCAACGAGTACTCGGAATAGTATGCCACTAATAGCATTGTCGCGTCGATGAAGTATCTGTCGAGAACTAACGACGCCAGCGCAATGATTCTTGAAAGTAATTTCATAAGCTTGAGAAAAATCCAAACACAGCGACGGTCGAGGCACGAAGAAAAAGTATGTCGAGACCGAGTTATTTCCTCCTTAACTAACATATACTAATGACTCATCACTTCATTACGTTGGATGTCCCCTCAGCTCGCGACCGAGTAACTTTTTTCTGTTTGAAAAGTACTTTTCCTAATTTTAGACTCTTGAAATAACACAGAGCAACGTTACTCTTCTTCCCCATGTACACATACATCGTTTTATACATTATCACCTCCCGCTCTCTCTCTGTGCATAACTATCTTCAGGTGCATACGTAACTCCCACCCTTTTTGTGCCCTACATTCGCAAAATAACGTCGTCATCTCATAACCACCTATGTTACCCTCTTTCTATCTCTCTCAGTAGCTATATCGCATAATATTATACGCTTTTGCCCAGCTAGGGAGAAAAAGGGAATTTCTTTTTCCTTTTTTTTTTAATAAATATGCTAAGCAGAACAATCGGGTCTCTCCCCCGAATTTCGCCTAGTTAGCATGTATAAATGCGCAACAGTGCAAAGAGCCAACAGCCGCATGCGGACAGCAAAGGAAAAAGAAAAAAAAAAAAAAAAGACGAGCGCGCGAGAGAAGCGGAGAAGAAGAATGAGCCTCACACGCGATCTCGCGCGAGCACGAGGCCGCTTGTTTTTGCATGATACGCGCGTACATACGTATGCAGAGATACGCGAGCGCGAGAGAGCCGGAGCCCATAACTTTCCCCAAATTATACCGATGAGAGTGCGCATCGCCGCGTCGCGCGAGAATTGATGGCCAAACGCTAGTTGCGCCGACATGACTTTTCTTCTTGCGCGCTTTCGAGCAAAAGAATAATACCCCTCTGAATTATCCGCCATGGCGTCTTCGTCATTTTCTTGCTGCTACTGGCCCAAGGCTGCGTGCTGGCATGCTGTATAAATGATGTATTGTGACGCTCCATTTTGCCGCGTATTCCTCAGCTATTTTTCTTCTCTGAATTGTGCATCTCTTCATCCTTCGCGGTCACATATACTTCTTTCTACGTTTTACGTCCATTTTCATTACGCGACATTCCACAAATGTAATAGCATCGGGTCGCGTTTCAATGAATATTCCTGATATTTTTAGCACGAGCGCCATCAATGCAGCCCGCCACTTCTTTTGGCATAATTTGGAATCGCGAGCGACGCTTAACACTGAACGATGCGGCGTGTATATTAATAGTCCATTCCATTAGCAGCGATATCGACAATACGAGAACTGTGATTGTCTGCCTTTATTCGAATGCAATTTAAATGACAACTTTAACGATATCGTGATTTCCGGGGGAAGTGTAAAAATACGTATATGATGGCGAACCGAGATAGATATCAACTTTTTTTTATTCAATTTGCCTTGGCAAACTTGTATTGGCTTCTCTCATATTCCTGCTTTGCATATAATTCGCTTCAACTTGGCGCGAAGTCGTACGACTGACCTGTTCGTTCTCACGGACTCGCAACTGTAGCGGTTGATTATAACTTCACACCCAAGCTCTCGGCACTCGATAGAAAACGAACCGCGCCGAAGCTAAAACCCATACTTTCGCGGCACACACACACACGCACACACACACACAAGCCCGAAGGAAAAAGAGCTCGCGACTGCAAGTGCACAATCGGCCGTTGCATTGGAATCAGTCGCACGCAAGAAAATTAGCTGGGTAGAGCACGCGAGTGCAGCAACGACGGCGACGGCGGTTCCGCGATTAATTGCGCGATATTGCAGTATACGCGCGCGACTCTCACTCGCCTATTCGAATTATAATCTCGCGAGCTCTGCTACTGCACGCTGCGCCAAGTTATTTACGAGCTCGGATTGTAGAGGATGCCTTTTTTTGCTTCTCTTTAAAAGCTTTTTGTCGTTCTTTTTTTTTTTCCTCTCTCTCTCTCTCTAATTAAGATTTTCAAATGCGAGCGTGTGTTTCGGAAAGCTAACGCGTGTCGTGCACATGTAGCCTTTCGTTTTGCGAATGAGAAGCAAATTGAAACTTATTGAAAATAGATACGCGCGTGCGTATGTGTGTGCAAGGGCCTTCGCGAGGGCACGACGACGTAGGTTGCGAGCTTCGAGAGAGCGAAAGAACAAGACAGCAAGAGGTTTCGCTCGTGTTTTCCGTGAGCGAAATGCTGTTGCTTGAACGAATGTGCTATTGGAATTATTCGAGTTTTGATCTTATTAAATTTATTCATCGCTCGCCATAAGCTTTCGGCTATTAATTACAGCTTTTGCGCGCGCTTCCCAAACACAGACTCATTTATCAAAAGTTTAATTCGCTAAATTAAAATTAACGCGAAAATAAAACATCTTGTATCGTAAATCTTCGTACTCCTCAATTTTCTTTCGTAATAGAGACATTATGTGTATGATAAATGTCAGTTTTCTGTCATATACTAATTGGAAGCGTGGCGATAAAAAATTCATGAGATCTTTTCGGTACATATTCGAGCTCTATCGCCGGATAAATAAGTAGTCTTCGAGCAGAAGAGAGCAATCCGAATGCGGTGCTCGTTTGAAATAGAGAAATTCGATTTCCGTTCGTATGACATTTCCTGTCTAGTGAGAGAGAGAGAAGGGGGGGGGGCAAGAGAAGCAGGCTTATGCTTTCGACACGCGCGAGCAAGAGAAGCAAAAAGAAAGAAGTGAGCCGAGGAATTCGAGGCAGCGCAAAAAACTCAATCCGAGATTTATGTTCTTACGCTCGCGTGGAGTTTATACCTGCCCGCTTCTTCTCTTCTCCTTCTTCTTATTCATCTTCGCATGCAAAAATATACTTTGATTAAATAAGTGGAATACGGCTCTTTGAACTGCTTGACATCCTTGACTGTTCTTTCTTTTTCCTTTGCGTATCAATCATCATCATTATCATCATGATTTTTATCATCATCCCCCTGGTGGCGAGTAAAATTGGAGCAGCTTCCTCTCTCCCTCTGCAAAGTTACTTTACAGCAGTCGGGCACAAGTCGTAAAATAACTTTGCCAAAACTAAAACAATAAATTTACGAGTAGAGCACACTTGTGAGCCCGCTCGCGAATAGAAAAAGGAGGAAGAGAGGGAATAGTCGAGGTGCGGGGGTACAGGGTCGATCGTTCTAATGAACTTTCGTTTGACTTGCGAGAGCGCCTGGTCGAACGAGGTCACTAACTGTCGTTTTCTTTTTGTTCCCTCTCCTTCCCACGACACAACGACGAAAAACAAAAAACAAACAAAAAACGAAAAAAAAAAAAACCACCAAACACCACCTCGTCGTCCGGCCTACAGGCGACGAAGAAGTTTTGACGAAGAGAGCCGGCGAGTGCATCTTACCGGGACCATGCCCAACGTCATGCACCTGCAACGGCGCCACGATCGATTGCTCCAATGAGAATCTCACCGCTATCCCCAAGGATCTGCCTATTTACACGTCTACTCTGTAAGTTTTGCGAGGCAGCCGGCTCCGTCTGCTTCTTCTCTCGGATTATTTGTCTTGGTCTTTGCTTCCGCCGGTGAATTTTCAGAGTCGACGAGCGGCCGACTGATTTGCCTCGTTTTTGTTCGCGAGTCGTTCGTTAGCCGCGCGCCCCTTCGCGGATCAAACGACTCGCGCGATCATCGTTTCTGCACGAGCGATTCGCGCTCCCGGTCGATGTCGATCTTGCGAGCGCTCGGCTTTTTATTCGCAAAAACACGCAATGCATTTTTGCGTGGCACACAAGGAGGACCCCGAGAAAGCAAGAATGCTCCGCGCGCGCGCGCGCGCGCGCGTTCCCAACTGATCGTCATTACTAATGGACGATTCTAGGAGAGCCTGAATATTATACGATTTAATCGAATATTCAAGTGGAAGCGCTAAGTATACCTGGGCGCTAGGCGCTGCTACAGTAGTAATTTATTGACGAGCGCTGAATTATTCAGCGTTAACTTGCTGCCTCCCATTGTCTCGTCATGAAACAATAAAAATAACAGCGCAACGATTGCTGCTTCTACTCTTGCTCTCGTCGGTTGTTATTGCCGGAATCAACGTGCTCTTATAAATAACAAAATAGAGCAAAGAGAGAAGAGCGTAGCGCCCCGTCGATTTAGCTGCAGTTACAATCAATCAAGGACGGATCCGGCGAACAAAACATCGCGAGTAATAATCTCGTTCGACTCACGCGCTCCGCGGACCGTAATATTCCGAATCGATAACGAGGCTAATCGGAACACGCCACTAATTAATAATCACCGGTGGCTTTCGTAATGGCAAACACACACGCGCGCGAGTCAGTCGCTGATTAAGCGAAAAGGTCTCTAATCAGCCGCGTTCGCAGGCTGCTGAAGAACAATGCGATCGAGAAGATCAAAGCGGAGAATATCTTCGAGAAGCTGCCGGAGCTGCAGCACCTCGACCTACGTGGCAACCGGATCTCGCGAATCGAGGCTGGCGCCTTTGAGGGGGCAAACAAGCTGACCGATCTGTGAGTATTTACCGTTGCCTAGACGAGCGCCGCGTACTCTCTGCACACACCTATACCTATCAGGCCTCTCTGCACCTATAACGCGCGCACGGACGTGTTCGATGTTTGTTATTGCGCCATTGCGATTTTTATATAATTAGCCGATCGACTGGAACGCTCGTCCATCTCACGGCCTCCGAATGCCTGGGCTATCGGGTGGAATGTAGCCGCGCGTTGAATAACGAACTGGTTACGTCGACCGAGAGCCTGCAGAGAGGGTGCGCGTCGCCAAAGTTAACGAACGCTCCTCAGTCGGCAAAAAGAGAGGACCGCATGACTGTTTTCTGTTCGCAGGCTATTGTCGGACAACAAGCTGCGGGAGGTGCACACCAAGATGTTCGGCGGCCTGACGAGCTTGAAGAGCCTGTAAGTACGAGTCGCATCAAGTCCTGGCGATGACCCTCTGCGCTCTCCATCTCCCCCGTTCACTCCTTTCTTCCTATTTCTTTTTAGGAATCTCCACGGCAATGCGATCACGTGCATGATGCAGGCGTCTTTCGACAATTTGCCCCACTTGCATTCCATGTGAGTATCATAATGAAGCTTCCGGCCTTGGCCTTCCGAAAAAGTGAGCTTATCGTCGGTCGCGCGTTCCGTTTCCGCAGCAACGTCCAGGGAAATCCGCTGTCTTGCAACTGCCACTTGGCCTGGTTCAGCGAGTGGCTGAAAAAGCACGATAGCGTATCCGTCAGCGGACACTGCCACGATCCGCCTCGCCTCAAGGATGCCGCTATCAACGACATTCCGCGCCACGAGTTCAAGTGCAACAGTGAGTCTCTCTCTCTCTCTCTCTCTTTCTCTCTCTCTCTCTGATAAAGCTGCTTTTCTTTTCTTGCTTCCCTTCTGGGCCGCACTCGTCGCTCGTTTCCTCTTTGATGCATCTGCCAGACAATCTGATAGGCAAATCACCCAACTGCCCGCCGTCCCTTCAGTTCGTTTCGACGTAATTACATTTTTCTTTTTCTTCCGTTTTTCTTTTCGTTTGTTTGTTCGTCGGCTGGCTCTTGTCGTCCTCGTGTTCCATTTTTTTCTCACAATGGGACCTTTTGATTACAATTGAGTTAAAACTGCCGACGACGCGGAACAACTCGGTTTTCTTTTTTATTTATTTTATGTTGCGTCCCCGATCTGCTGATCATCAGCGTTGCAGGTGAATTTTTTGAAGGACCCTACGAGGTGTTCTTGTTTGGTCAAAGCGATGAATGATTCGTCGAACGTAAGCTATACAAATAGCTATAACTTATTTTTACACAATCGTAATGAAAATGCGGGATGAATATATATAACACGTTAAGGACAAACTAAAGCCTCCATAAATGAATAAATTACGAGGCTGCTCGAACACGCGCGAGGCCATAAATTAATCCTAATCGAGCTAAAATATCAGAAAATTTCAACATTGTATTGAAACGCATTGCTATATGGTGAACATTCTGTCGTTAATAATTCACTAAAGCCCTCGCGTACACTCATACAGTGTGCGCGCGCGTGCGCGCGTAATGTCCCAACGATCCATAATTTTTCAGCGTCGTGCTCTGGCGAGGACTTTTCCGTGCGGTGCATGAGCTTCATTTGCATAATTCACGGAAAATCGCACGACTCGATCTCCAAGACATGGCTTATTATCGACGGAGTTCTTTTTTTTCAGTTTTCGTTTAATTGCGGATAATTAGATACGAGTTGCTGGTGCTCGTGACCGCAAGAGCGATCATCTCGCGAGATACCCGATCGGAATGTGTCCGCGAGGTTGCGTATTAATAATAATTAAAGAAAAAACCTGTCGAATCGATTAATATGGCGGAGACGAGAAGAGAACAAAAATCTTCGCGATCAACGGCAGAACAGCCCAGAATAACAAGGTACTTTATCTGATGGCTGTCAATTACATGCCACCCCCGCATTTCTCTCTCTCTTTATATCGGAATTTCCATAAAAACGTTATTCCACTCCATCAAATCGACGTTGCGAATGAATTTCTGTCTCTCTCGGTCGAAAGCACCATCAGCAGCTTTTCCTCTGTTATTCTTCCTTTTTTTTCCCGAATTTTGCATGCGCAACGACTAAAACAATGGGAGTGTGTACGTTCCTATTCTCCATCGCGTCAAATACGATAATTCGCGCGATCGATGTGGTATGGTATGGCTGCCGCGGGGAGAAACCTCAAGCCAGCTCCGGTGACTCTTTTGCCTGACTGTTCGTTTTCCCCTCTTGTCGCGTTGTTCTCGATGCACAGAGCTCGAATGTCCGCGCGCGCGGTCGAAGAGAAAAAAAAATGTGGGTTGCCGCAGCAGCGATGGAGGGTTGCACTCTCCCTGTATTGTCGCGGCAAATTTAATAGTTTTGATGCGCGATTATACGAGGGATTTTTCTCTTGGATGTACATGGGATCGTATTGCGCCTTGCGGTCGCGCCCAGGAGAGGTTTAATCAGAGCGGACGTTTTTATGGGGGTTATTCCAGCTTGATGATATGCCCGCAGTCGCAGAAATTGAACGCTGGATTATGAAAGCCATCGCGTGTGTTTATACGTTCGCGTTATGTTTTTGACGGGCTGACGAATAATAAAGATCGGCTTTCAATTGACGAAGCGAGATTTGCTTTTTTTTCTAGTAGACGATGTAATGCGCACGTTCGGCGTAGATTACGTCGTAATTGAAAACCCCTTTTACCGCGAAAATGCATTCGAGCGAATAATAATTATTAAGCTTGATTGAATTTATTATCGTGGAAATTAGCGAGCTATTCAATGAAGCATTAGAAAGTTGTTATCTTGTTATAATGTCGGGCGCGCGCGATATATCGCATCCGCTAATTTCGCAGAGCACGCGGCGGCGAAGCTGCAGCGCGTCGCTTTAATCCCCGCGTTATTTGGAGAATCCAGGAGGATGCGCACCGCGCCCAGTCCCGTCCCAGCGAAGAGCCCAGCGAAGAGCCCAGCGAAGCGCCCGATATCGGCGTGAAATTCCAAACGGGGAAAAATCTTTTGTCGCAGGTGATAGCGTGGGATGCCTAGGCGACGACTATTGTCCGCCACAATGCAGCTGCGCAGGTTCGGTGGTGCGCTGTTCCCGCTCGCGTCTCACGGAGATCCCGCGCGGCATACCGCCGGAGACGACGGAGCTGTACCTCGACGTGAACGACATCAAGACGATCCAGCCGGAACGTCTTGCTCACCTCAGCATTCTCACGAGGCTGTAAGTCGTAATATCTCTATGCGCGACCTTCGCTCGATAATAAGCGGGGCGGCTGCAGAGAAAGAGAGAGAGAGAGAGAGAGAGAGGCTCTCGCAAGATTAATAGCTCAAACCGCTGCCGAAATCGTATTCCGAAAAGGAAACGGCAAAGAAACGAATATGCGCGCTCTCTGCCGCCAGCCCCTCCTCGTGCGAAATCCAACTGATCGCCGGTAATGATCGTTTTCTCTCTCTCTCCGACAGGGACTTGAGTAACAACCAGATTGGCATGCTGTCGAACGACACGTTCAGAAACCTGACCAACCTCGCGCATCTGTGAGTATGACGAAGCGCACGTGCGTTCGCCAGTCGCGAGAGAGATAGCGAGCTCAATGGGTTTTCATCTGTCCGCAGGATCATTAGCTACAACAAGCTGCAGTGCGTGCAACGTGGCGCGCTCGCCGGCCTCAAGAGTCTTCGCATCATGTACGTACAATAGCAGCAACAGTATCGCAAACCACGCGTTCGGAGCTTTCCCGGATAGCCGTCGTTTTCTCTGTTTGCGTTGAGCGCGCGCGCGCGGTATTATTAAGCCTACGTAGGGCCTCCGGCCGAGGGCAAAATAAAATAACGGAGTGCCTCGCGAGGGAGGCGTCAAATGAATAATGACCGGCTCTCGCGCCTGCCCTCGGTCGAGAAAACCGAAAAAAAAAAGCATCCGAGGCGTCGAAATTGGCGCGCCGAGTCTGAACAATGGGCGAATTTGTTGCAGCTCGCTGCACGGCAACGACATATCGGTGATACCCGAGGGCGCCTTCGAGGACCTCAAATCCGTCACACACATGTAAGTATGAAAAGCCCGTCGGGCCGTGCGCGTCCCGTCTGCGGGTCTCTGTATATCGGCGGCATTAAACCTGTTTTAGTGCTCTGGGCTCCAACCCATTGTACTGCGACTGCAACATGCGCTGGCTGGCCGAATGGGTGAAGCGAGACTACGTCGAGCCGGGCATCGCGCGCTGTGCCGAGCCCGCGAGTATGAAGGACAAGCTTCTGCTCACCACGCCGGCTAGTTCCTTTCTGTGCAAAAGTAAGTGTCTCTTTTACTTTTCTTATGGAACTCTCACTTGAAAAACTTGTCTCTGTATCTTTGTTTTTGCCTCGGCGGTTACTCGCAGCGAAACTACCGCCAGCCCGCCTGTACGTATACACGTGCACTCTTTAATTGCGGCCAATTCATTCGCTGCGAGGAATTCCGAGGGAGTCCGACTGTGTGTGTGTGCGTGCTTTCTTTTTTTCGGCCGTTGTGCTTGCGTTACCTACCTACTATTCTACACTCGCAGTCTTCGTTCCTTTTTTTTTGCGCCTGTTTCTCGTCTTTTATTGTAGCGAGGAGGTTCTCTAGATTAGCGCTGTTTTTGCGTGGCTGCTGCAGTTTTCTTTCTTCTCTTTCCCTCTATCTCTCTTCCCTTCGTCTCATTCATTTTGCCGTTGGAACTAGCGCGAGCACTTCGGCATTGGGGATTTTTTTTTCTATTTCGACTGCACGGAAGGCTGTCTTTTTGGAAAATTAAACGAATGACGTCGTCGAATTATAGCCATTTCACGCGGCTCTAATCATTCTTCCTTCCTGCGCATGCCTTTCATTATAATCAAATAAAAATTCATTTTAACGTTCACCTTCATCTATAGTCATCGCTGTAAATTACTTTGACATTCCGGAAGTTCTCCAATGTGTGCGAGCTCGTGGCTTTTACACATTGTTTTATTAGCACTAAAAACGTACGCTAAAACGCATTAATATATATACGCAACTCTCACGCATTCCGCGGAATATACGTATATTCCCCGAAGGTTTTCGATCCATTTCTGACGTGTCGCGCGTCGCTCTCTATCCTTAATACTCTGCGCGTAAAAACGATTTTTATGATCGCGAGAGCCGCTGCGTGCTCCGCTCTTTATAGCATGGCTACAATTACGCCAATAAAATTCTCTCTCTTCTCATAACCATAATCGACTGAAACTACCTTAGGCGCGATAAAAAAAAGAATGGACGAGCGGCGCGTGTTCGTACCGTTAAAATTTGGCGCGGAGTAAAAGGGAAAAAAAGAAAGAAAAAAAAGAGGGAACAGCAAACAAACGTCGTAACGCGCGATTTCCCTAATTAAGGCAAAAAACCGGGGCTGCCGTGCGAGACAGAAAAAGAGAGAAAGCTAAAGCAGCGCGTCGCCGACGGGAGCTTGGCACGAAGTCAACGAGAAAAGCCCTTCGCCGTAAAAATAAATTCGCCGTTTCCTTCGCCCACCAGGCCACCCGGCTGCCCGCGCGAGCGCGACTATATTTAAGAGCTGCTCTCTCCGAATTATGCAATTTTGTACGAATGTAATACAAACGACGCCCTTAATAATGCGCGCGTGCGACGCGCGGATCCTCGCATAAATTCTGAATCAATCGTTGAGCTTTTTCTCCTTTCGCGTCGCGTACACACGCTGCGAGAAGATAAATCAATCGGATGCGCGCGATACCAAAAGCTCGCGTGGACAATGAGAAAAATTATTGCCCTCGCGCCTGCGCAGATTGTTTTCTCTCTCGCGCTCTCTCTCTCTCTCTCTCTCTCTCTCTCTCTTTTGACTTTCCGCTTTTTTACAAACCGAAAGCCAATGAAAATCTTCAGGTTATTTATTGCCCGAACAGTCGCGTTTTTCCGCGAGGCCGGTGCGAGCTTTTTTATTTATCTGTAGCAACGGCAAACAGTCGAGCTTTTTTTTTCGACGCGCGATGTACACGCGAACACGTGCGCGCGATATCTGCGAATTTCCCCGAGGGGTAATGAAATTCCGAGGTGGTGTGTAGGCGACGGCGTAAATAATGTGTATGAGACGACGCGTCTTTCGATGTTTATAAACCGAAAATCGATCACACACACTGCACGTAAATGGATCGGATATTGCACGGCGCGATGTGTGTATACTTTATGGCACACTGACTTTGTATGTTATATTACCATTCTGCTCGTATCTATATATGTTCATACAGACGTTCATGAGCTTTTTTTCCCTTTTACCGATGGGAGCTGGCGCACGCATGCCTCGTCGATTTTTAATCCAGACGAATAGCTGGCGAGTTGTATTGTTATTAAGCTCGGGAGCTCTCTTGGATTTTTCGTTAAATCCGCGCCGTTGCTGATCCATTCGGGAAAACGCGCGCGAGCAAGTTTCTAGTAGTCCGGATAATTAGCGATTTCCCGAGAAGTTTTCTCTCTCCGCGAGAGAACTTTGTTCCCGCGAAAAGGCTTTCTTTGTCCCTTTTTGGCTGCACCAGTTCCAAGACGCGAAACTCGCTTTGTCGCTGCGCATAATCACTGCTGCTCGCACTTTTTGTTTTGGCTCACTCTGCCACTGCTCAGCGCAACTTGTACATGTACAGAGTGTCGCGGGGATTTGTTTGACAACTTTGTCTTGATCCGATCGCGCTAATGACGACTGCACTCGTAGCAAACTTTATTAATATCGAGAGAGAGAGAAAGAGAGAGAGAGAGAGAATCACAGGCAAAGTTGTTCAATGAAGGGACTCTCTGAAATATTATATTGTCAGTATTGAATTATATGTGCTGGTCGATTGAATGTTTAAAGAAAAGAAAAAAACCAGACGCGTCGGCGGTGCTACATACTAAAATTAATCTCATTAATCGTAGACCTTTCTTCCGCGCAGCCAAACAACAGCCAGCCGACGTCCTGGCGAAATGCAACGTGTGTTATACAACGCCCTGCCAAAACGGAGGACTATGCGAGGCGTTACCGAACAAACACTTTCGTTGCAAATGCGCACCAGGATATCACGGGGACCGGTGTCAACATAAAATTGACGCGTGCTATGGAAATCCTTGCCGGAACGCCGGAACTTGCAAAGTACTGGAGGAAGGAAGATTCAGGTGACTCTTACTTCCCCTCTCTCTTCCCGCTCGCTTGATTAACAATAGCGCCACTTGTAACGCTTTCGAGACGAGACGAATCGCGGCCCGCGGGTATTCACGATTTGCGCGTGCTTTCTGTGTTCGCAGTTGCAACTGTGCACCCGGATACGAGGGACTCCGATGTGAGACCAACATCGACGACTGCGTCAAGCACAAGTGCGAGAACAACGCCACCTGCCACGACCTCGTACAGGCCTACCGATGCGACTGCCTACCAGGATTTACCGGCGAGTACTGCCAGGCAAAAATACCCTTTTGCTCAAAAGAACACAATCCTTGCAAGAACGGAGGCAGATGCGTCGACCACCAGACCCACTACGCGTGCGAGTGCCCCGTCGGTTTCGCCGGCCTCAATTGCACTGACAACCTCGATGACTGCGATAATAATTTATGCCAGGTATATCCTTCACCCTCGCAAACGCTCTATCAGCATTCCATTTTCTCATTTCGTATCGGTCATCCGATAACACTTGTGTTTATTTAGAGTCTCGTTATGCAGGCGCGTGGATTTATCCTTTTGTGTCGGCATCCATTTGCCAACACAATTATGCCAATCAAACGGATGAGTTCGTTGAACAAACTTCGATTCAGGACGATATTTTCGGAATGGCGCTTCAATCGATGCGCAGCAATTATTATTTCTCAATGTTATATAAGCTGCAGCGTAGGAAACGTAACGAGCTGGCATTGGGTTTTCCCCTTTAACCTTTTTTATATGTATCTTTGCAAATCGTCATTAGAGATGCACAGAAAAAAGGTTTTTAAAGCCGAGCTCGGTAATAGCATCGCAATTACAGAGGGAAAACGTGTATCAAACTAATTTCCCGTGGCCGACAAAGCGAGAGCAAGGAAAAAAAAGCTTACGAGGTCACGAAATCCTCTTAAAAGAAAGGGAAAGAAAAGAGCACCCAAAAGCAGAGGCAGAGATAGACAGGTAGTGGAAGAGCTTTTCCGGGTCGCTCAATCAGCGCTTTTACAAGTCGTAAACGCCGGATGAGTGTGCCGCGCCGCGTGACACGAGTCGCTGCACGTGCTATACCACTCTCGCCGCGAACGAATCGTATAAACGTAACCGTGTAAAAAGATCAAGGGAGAAGAAAAGCAGGGGAGAATCTCGTCGACAAATAACGACTTTAGCCTTGATGGCGCATTAAATCAATTAAGTAAGACAGAGAGAGAGAGAGAGAGAGAGAGAGAGAGAGAGAGAAAACACAATAAGCCACTGGCGTTGTTTTGCTTCGCAGAATGGTGCTACATGCATCGATGGCATAAACAACTACGAGTGTAAGTGCGCACCAGATTATACAGGGAGGTACTGCGAAGTTGCACCATCAACTGCCTTACTATACCCTCAAACTAGTCCGTGTGCTCATCATGATTGCCAACATGGTGTTTGTTTCCTACCATCGCCGGGTTCTGGAGCTGATTACCTGTGCCAGTGCCATTCTGGTTATACTGGTCAGTATGATACCAACAGCTGTCAATTATAATCTTCTTCCTCCTCCTTCGTACAATGCTAATTCAATGCGCCGCTAATCTCGAATTCATTGGGTTAACTTCGTGGCGGGGGGCGGGGAGGGGGGGCTTGAATAGACACATTGATAAGGAAAAAAGCGATTTTAATGAGACAAATTGGCCAAAGGATGACCGCATATTAAGCATTTTAACTGATAATATCATTACACGCGGTATTCACTGGTACGGCCGCGAATCGCGGGCACTTAAAAATCGATATATCCTACTGCGCTCCTCATGATGTGCCACTCGAGCGAGAGAGAAAAAAAACACCTCGAACGCATCCATTGAAATTAAAGAGCCATTAGAAACCCATTCATACTCGCGCTCTGACTTGTCGGTGCGGTTCGGACGTTTGAATAAATGTGAAATGCATATTCACGTTCGCTCCTGGCTCTTCTGCTATGTTTTTCTCCTCTTGCGCTCGGCCCGCAATAGTCCGGACTGGTTCTCAAGCGTCGCTCTTCAATTAACCACCGAGAGCGTGCATCCAGCATGATAATTATCTAAACTTCTTCGACGTAAATGCTGACGACCGGCGCGGAAAAAAAGGAATAAGGAGAAAAGCATTTGCACGCGCGTGGCGCGGAAAATTGACTTTAACGATTGCCGAGGCGGCGAGAAAAGTTCTCGCGCGCACGCGAGAAATACGGCTCGGCGTGTGCGAGCGCGAGGAGGAGTAGGATATTTCTCGGATGACGAATGCTGCGCGAGCTTAATTGCCCGTGAGCTACGAGCCCAAGATACATAAATCGTTTGCTCTTTCTCGCGAGCGAAGGAGAGAGAGTTGGGATTTACATGCGCGCTCTCTGTGTTTTATGAATTTTCAACCGCTGATATTTTTGGCTTGTAATACCCTTTCTCTCTGTTATTAGCGTATATTTGAGTTTCGCGGTCGCGTTGCATTTCGCGAGAGCAAAACATTCTCCTTCCTGCCGTTTACTTTTAAATGCACTGATTATCTCGTAATTGTTTAGAGTCCATTCGGCGCGTGTGTATTTTCGGAGTGACTCTGCGCGTTAAAATGGAAATTCCACGGTCAATGAAATATCTATGCATTCTTAAGTAGACACGGAAGGGAACGCGTGGATGCCAATACATTTGGAATTTTTACGAGATGGAAATAAACGTGGGCCGTTTTGAAAAAAGGGGAAAAAAAGGAAAAAAAAGAAAAAAAAAGGCAGAATAGAGGGGAATAAAATAAAAATTGACCTTCGAATTTCACGGCACGAGCGTGCAATCGTTCAGAGGCTCTCTCCATTTGGCGCCAGCGACACACCCTACTTTATTTGGCCGTACGCGCGTACGAAAAAAATGCGAAGATGGGAGTGCGTATAGCGGATGCTGTGCCCGTCTATCGAATTTCATCAATCTAAAGCGCGGGCACGGAAGCATCGTATCGCGTTTTTTTGGCGAAGCTTGTGCGAGGGGAGAGGAGAGCAGGCGAGGTTTGATAACGGAGGATGCACATGCGTAAGTGGTATTGCGTTTGTAAAACAGGCAAGAGGTGTGAGTACATGACAAGTCTGAGCTTTATCGATAACAACTCGCTGGTCGAGTTCGAGCCACTTCGCACACGGCCCGAGGCAAACGTGACGATTATTTTTACGACGAGCCAGGAGAACGGAGTACTGCTTTATGATGGGCAAAGCAGCGAACACTTGGCCGTGGAGCTGTTCATGGGTCGAGTGCGCGTCTCGTACGACGTCGGCAACTACCCGACATCGACGATGTACAGTTACGAGCAGGTGTCCGACGGCAAGCCCCACATGGCCGAGCTGCTGGCGATCAAGAAGAACTTTACCATGCGCATCGATCGCGGTCCAGCCCGAAGTATCATCAACGACGGCCCCAAGGACTACCTCAAGCTCACCAAGCCGATGTACGTCGGGGGCGTTGCCACGGAGACTGCCAGTGTCGCCTTCACCGAATTCCATTTGCGCAACATTACGAGCTTTCGGGGTAAGTCCTTCGCTGCGATATTGACTCGCGCCCGGTGCGCGTTCTACGCTGCGGGCCGCGACGTCGCAATTCAATTGATCATCGATACCTCCGCGAACAATGCCTGCATAAACCATTGACGACTTGGGCCTGCCCCCGGCCTGCGGGCGCCCACTTGAGTCGTTCGACGTAAGAACGTCGACGCGTGCGGGGGCCGAGCGCCAACCGCGAGGAGAGAAGCGCGACCCTTACTCCCGCCGAGGAAGCGCTCGTGTTTACGAGCGGCTTTCCCGACGCGCGTTCGCGCTTCCGTTCTTTTACCCCCATGCAAATTTTATCACCGATCAATGCCAAGTCGCCTTGCCGCGCCGACAATTTTGCCCCTCTTCGGCGTCATCCGACATCCATTGGCGCAGGCCTTCCAATGGATATTCCTCTTTTCTCTTCGATTGATCGATTGCCCGGTTTTTTTTTATTTATTTATACGCGACAGCTCGTTTTTCATAATAATTGCCGACAGTCCGATGGAGCACTTTTTCATCATGGGACAAGGCAGTTTGTGCGATATCTGTCTGAATCGCGACGCAAATCACCTATCGAATGCACTTGGCACGCTCATCGAAGCTCGTATTCTCGGCAAATTTAGCCTATTCCAATTGATCTTAAGTTTTGGCTCTTGGGCTTTGCGCGGAACGATTCACATACGACAGCTATTGACCGAGATTTTTCCGTAAAGAAGCTTCCGAAAAAGGAAAAAGCACAGCGCGCGGGCTGCTATCGATGTTCGCCAAATCATAGAAAGTTGACGTGGCAACAGTTACTTATTATTTTCCATTTCTCTCGCGGACCGGGGGGGGGGCGGTTAAGACTAAAACTTTTCATAAATCCGAAGCAGCAGCAGCCACCATACCAGCACACAACACGAGTCCGCAGAAATTGCGAAAGTTTCCAAATTAAAAGTTTGATTGCGAATAGGACGTCGCGCAACCGAGCACTATCCAATAAAAAAAAAGAAAAGGAAGCAAGACAAAATTAAATAAAATCTGCCGGTTATTTGTCGACGCGCGTGCGTAGGTTGTATCTCGGAGATGTGGATCAACCACAAGTTAGTGGACTTTAACAACGCGGCGAAAATGAGCGGAGTGCAGCCTGGTTGCGGCGGCAACGACGACGAGGACGAGGAAGCCGACGAAGCTGCTTCTGCTGCGACGAGTAACAACGGCGACAGCAAGGTCCGCGGTAGCGCCAACAGTGCCGACATTGCGGACAGTGTGCAAGTGGACAACGCCGATCAACTGCTACCTCATTTGCCACCAGCGACGCCGCAACAGCAGCAGCAGCAGCAACAGCAGCACGTTCACGAGCATTCCGGTCGGTATCACGCGACTACGACGACGACGACGACGACGACGATGGTAATGACGGTGACGACGCACGGTTCGATTGTTTGTTGCAGACTTCGCAGTTCTGTCCAGTTCCAGTAATATCGATCCTTGCGCTCGACACGAGTGCAAAAAGGGCTCCACATGCGAACGCGCGCCCTTCGGCACCGGTTACACGTGCAAATGCCAGATTGGCTGGCAGGGCAGATATTGCGAGAAAGGTAAATAACTCTATATCACGAACAAATACGAAAAAGAAAAAAGTATAATTTGAGCTTTACCTTTGTACGCTGAGAATGATAAAAAACTGGGCTTTGTTTGCTTTCTGTTTGGTCGGTTTCATGTAGCGCCAACATGCCGAAAGGAGCACATTCGCGAGTACTATACTGCGAACGGCTGCCGAAGTCGAAGACCCGTGAAGCTCGCTAAATGTTGGGGCAGCTGTGGTAATTCCTGCTGCTTGCCACGCAAGACCAAGAGGCGCAAGGTTGGTGTTTGTGGGCGAATATTTGCTCGACGTTTTCACGCGAGCGCGAGCTGAATCTCAGCTGGTTGAAATGCATTGCCGGCTACTAGCCTTTGCGAACCGATGGGTTATATTGCAACATTGAAACGAACCAATTTACACCTTAAATAACTCGTTAACGAAACTGGTTAACTTTTAAGAGAGGAAATCCGTGCGAGAATTTTCTTTTCCTTTATTTTCTTAATTGGAAACGTTCGTTCCAATTAAGCACTGGCATTACTGTGAAAATGGGTCTATCATTTTTGTTCTCTTTTTCCTCCGTCCGTTGCGCTACTCCAGCTTGAGCAGCAGCGAAAACCCAAGCGGTGATTTTTCTCGAGCTGCGAGCTTGTCGCCGAAAGCACAATACAAGGTGGAGAGAGTCGCGGCGAAGAGAAGAGAAGAAGCTGGCGCGAGGCGCATGCGCGCAATGTAATAAGACTGTTGTGATATTGCAGATCCGGCTAATTTGCAGCGACGGCACCCGCTACACCAAGGACGTGGACCTGGTGCGCAAGTGCACGTGCACGCGCAAGTGCTACTAACGCCTCTCCCCCGGGGTGCCGTAATACACCGAGGCGTCGAGTCGCCGCTGGCGCCGCCGCCACCTCCTTGCTCCCCCTTGGCCCGAAATATCTGCGCGCGCGAAGGCGGAAAAGGCTTCAACGGCAGAGTGCGAGACGCGTATTAACCAAGTTTCGCTTGCGAGGCTATTCCCTCGCGCATCAGCTACGTTCTCCAGAAAACCCCCCGTTCTCCGAACCCCCGAACCAGCCGGCCTCCTCCTCCTTCTCCTCCTCGCTCCTCCTCTTATCTCTGTCTGTGCTTGTGAACCTCCCTCGAAACAACGCGATGCGACGTATGTGTAACGACTGCCATCCTATTGTAAGGCCGCTCGATTATCAAACTAGATAAAACTGCTACGAATGGCGAGTGCGTAGAGATGAAACGACTGCTTAATGGACGGATAACTGCTTAGGCCTCTCGCGCGCGCCCGATACACGATATCCCGTGCGTGCGCGCTGGCCTAGATTATAATTAATCAACATACACACACATACGCGCGCGCGCGCGCGCACATACACACTCGCGACAATGGCTGCTGCGTGCAATGCTACCGGCAATAGCGCCGACAGACCAACGGCAAACACCTTTTTTATATCGCAGGAATTACTAGATGTGCAAGTATTAGTCGTTAAGTGCGTATCGAGCATCGCGCGCATTATACTTATACATACGAATATATAGATATATAGATGAATGATATATATTATCCCGCTGCTCCGCTGACGTGATCGTTCGATGATGAGACTCCAAGCGAATGACAGATGGATTATCGACGAGCTACGCTGCACTCGCTCTCTCGGTGAGTGAATATATCGAGTTAGAAACATCATTTGTTAGCCTGCCCCACTCCCATTCCACTTTCAAAGTCGAATTAGCATAGAGCTCTTGTTACTTTTGACGCGGCACGTCGAAAAGGTAAGAAGAGACTCCACCCTTAGAGTATACCATAACTCAGCCGCGCTACATGCTTGCCCGAGCAAATTCGACTGGCGTGCCCCCTCCTCCCCCGCCCCTCACACACAACCAACCTCCCACCGCCCGTTTCCTTCCACACGCGTTGTACATATACGTCGCGGCCCATCATAAAATACGTACGTACGAAGCATTCGTTAAATAGATAAAAGAACGTTAAGTACCGCAAGAAAAAAAAGACAAAGCAGTGTCTCTCCATAAGTACAAGCGACGACGTTATAGTATTTGCATTTAATGTAAAATTAAAGTTTATAAACGCAATAACTGTATTATCCGAGCGAGCGCGTGCTTTCACGTTGTTATACGTACGGCTGTTGATGTTTTTTCGCTTTTTTTTCCCCCAAAGAAAGCCTTCGACGAGCACCAAAAACGTATGGTAAATGAATTTGAAATATCGGACGAGCGTGTGGAAGAGAGGCTCTCTTTCTTTTTATTTTCTTTATGCTGCATGTGCGAGCGCGCGCTCCGATACTGTGCTAAATATTTAAAGAGAAACATTGACGTTTAAGGTTCACATCAGAGAAAAAACAAGCCGGATATGCACACTCACATCATACACACAAGCATGTATTTATTTTAAGCAGTAAGATTTACTTGCCTTCGCCTTCAATTGTAATTATTGCTGAATTTTTTGAATTTATATTTTAATTATACTACTATTGTATTATTACATATTATTTGTATTTAAAACAAATTATTTACGCATACGTACGAACACACCAATCGAGTGATATTTTAAATATATACTTTGAATGTTTTTTTCTTTTAAGTTGTCAGATATATGAGAAAATAATGTTGCAATTTCGGTGAGCTTTGCGCGAGCGAACTGAGATTTAAAGGATAAAAACAAAGACAAATCCCATATACAATGACGTCAAGTAAATTCATCGTAGATATTTCAAGCAGCAATTTTTATTTGGCTTTTCTTTTGACTTTACGTCTTGATTCATATTATAACAAACTTTTTTTACGGGATGTATATTTCACAAACGTCAACTTTGTTTTATTATTTTTGATTTTAATTGATGTTTTATTGCTACCCCCTCTTAGTTTTATTCGAAATTGATTTGCACCTGAGTATCACGATAAAGTTACTTCGTGCGCGCATTAATTCTCAAACAGTTCAGTATTTACGAGATTGCGCGATGACTTTAGTTAAGTATCCGGACTGCGTTATAATTTTTACAAACAACCGTCAATGCAAAAAGCGGTTAAATAGCAGTATGGCATAATCGATACCGTAATAATATTGTACTAACGTGCCTCGTCGCGTCGAGGCAATTAAATCTGCTCGCAGACTTTGTAAACGAACCGATTCTAGTTATTGAAGCATCCAAGATTGCCGTAGATTTGTAAAACTTTAGGACTGCCGATAAAAATAAGCAAAAAGCAAACAAACAAACACTGAATGTCACCTTGCTTTTGGTGTAGGGTGTGCTATTGTAAATTCGTCGAAACGAAAAAACAATTTTTTTTATAAGATTGTAGGTCTTCCTTCGTGGGTGCTTCGGTTCTCCATAATAACGATTATAAAGTGAAAAAAAACGAAAATAATGTCACGTGTGCTTCATGCCTCATATTATAGATATAAATATATATAAATATAGATAAATTTTTTATTCGAATAATAAACCCCTATAAACGGCTATAATGTATTTACTCAGCTCAACTACCCAGATACACCGGCCAGGATTTTTGTATAAAAATAAAAAATCAAATAGAATAATGAATAAAGAAATATACATTAAAATACAAACCACAATTCATGAGAGTAACAATAACGATTTTCTGCGATGGGAATTGATTGCTCATTTTTCGCTGTCAATTTTGAATGTGGAAAATACCCCAAAAAAATGTTTCAACTGTAATTGTTTAGAAGCGCCTAGCAAGAAAAAAAAGTATGGCAAATCAGGGTTAGCAAGAAAGCTTCGGAATTAATGTTAATTATATTTAATGTATTACTTGTCATTTTTTATTCTATTAATAAATTAATAAATTAATCTATAATAATAAACAGACGAGAATATTCAAAGATGATCGCTTGCTGCCACATTTCTTAATATATCACAGGAGTGTGTTATAATTTTGCAAAAGTCACTGATTTTTAAATGTATTGCCAATCCTATAAAAAATCCTAATAGTTAAGTAAAAAAGGAAAGCATCAACGAAACGTATAAAATTAAAATTAGACGACACATAGTCATCTGAGTATTAAAAGGAAAAAATCATTGTTCAGCAGCAAGAATTGAGTTTAGACTGAACTCTGGTCACAAAGTTGGAAGCCATGTTATCTCCTTTCCTTCGGGACAGTACGTTTATCACCTCGGAGCCTGGGAAAAAGAAAAAGATAGTCGATTGAATGGAAGCCCAATCGAAAGAAATTACGTATGCAGATAAGGTACATAAGAAGAATGAAAACTTACTGCTGGATGTGGGTCGTGAAAGTTTCAGGTGAATCTGCTCGAGATCCTTAAATCCGTCGTGCGAATCGCGCACCCCGATTTCGCTGAACGGCAAAAAGCACTCGGCCATGAATCTCGTCCTGAGAAAGTCCTTGTCCTTCACCTCGAACATCATGATTGCGTTCTCGAGTTTCCTCTGCTCCGGAGTCAATGGACTGAAAAGCAACGCGTACTTTTTCAAACTTGCCGGGGTGCAAACTTCTCTATGTTTTTCTTTTCATTTTTTTTTACAGAAACTTACTGCCCACTGCACCTCGCCCAAGTTTATTTCAGTGGAATTTTTCGCGAATGATTATTCATGAAGTCCCTGCCTTTGTTAGCAAAGTTCAAAGATGACATGAACTTCAAGGAAGGAAATTTAATTAGAAAAATTCTCTTCTTTACTCCCCTCATTGTGTAGGACTAATTTCAACTTTTGGCCAAAACAAAAAGAGGTGGAAATTTGCGCACGAGTGATTTAGTGAAACCAGTAAAAGCTATATATACGTGCTAAAAAGAGAAGAAAAGAGCATAGAAAGAGAGGAAGTCGATAATAAGAGGAGAGAGAGCAAGTCGTGGTTGCTTGCGAGCGATTATGGTTGTGGACGCCGTCTGTGAGTATAAGGGAATGCTGCGTGTATGAGAGAGGAGAAGAGAGAGAGAGAGAGAGAGAGAGAGAGACGTTGCTGTCGTCCTTTGGGGACTTTGGCAGTAGCCGCGGCATTCGCCGTCAGTTGGTCGTCGGTCGTTGGACGAGTGAGCATGTCATCTTGGCCTCAACGGTAAGTAAGTATAAGTTTTTAACTCACATGCTAAAACTTTCCTCGTAAAGGGGAAACGTAGTCTCCTTCTGCACGTTAGTCTTGAAGACCTTGGTGCCGACAAACACATCTTCGGGAAACAGCCGGACCTTCACGTACGAGTCGCACTTTCCTACGGGCCAAAGTGAATTTCAGTCGTAAAACTCGCAAATGTGCGTGCTCGCGACGGCATAAAAAAAAAGCAACAAAAAGAAGAGTGAGAAAAGAGGCAAATATAGCAAAAGGCTGCTGACTTTTTTTTTTACCGTTGCTGTCGGCTGCTTTGAGATTTCGTCCGTTCATAACCAGCACATTGAGCAAATCGGCGTAAAAGTAAGCCTTGACGGTCAACGATCCAAATGGCTCCTGATCCATGGCATTTTGTTCCTTGAGCCGATCCATGTAGTAGCTGTGTATGAGTTGAGGCGTCTCCAGGCCATAGAGTTTCAACACTTTCTCAATTTTCTCCAGAACTTTTACGTTCGCCAGCTCGTCCGCGCCGAGATTGAAAAATTGGATGAGGGTGTGCAGCGTCTTGTGCAGATTCGCGTAGAATGTCGGGGCTCGTTTGCGCTGCAAAAGTGAAAGAACAGAAGTCAATACCGAAAGTCTTTTCAAACGAGGAAAATTAATGGACATCTATCCCTCATCGCTCGCTTTACATGCAAACTCGGCGGAAAAGTCTTAAACTTCTTCGTCCCAATCGATAAACAGCTCCTTACCTCCAAGTTGTCTTGCACTAATTGAGACAAGATCTCGGCCATTATCTCCCAAATGACCATCAGGATGCGCTGGAAGTTGTCGTCGTTCAGATTATTGTGTAACGTTATGAGATTCGAGTCCAGATACTCCATCAGACGGTCGAGCGAGTTACTCGATATTTCCGATAATTCGGCGCCTTCCATCAAATATCTGCGAGAGTTAAGTGCATCACTTGGTTAGTAGATTGGACAATCAACATTTTTTTTCTTTCTTTCATTTCCATTTGTACGTAAATTTTTTTTATCGATGCGGTCTGAAGCGTTTTATTACACGCCAATCAACTAAATAACGACTATAAATTTTCGTGCCAGATTTTTCCCGACGAATAAGCTTTTTAAGCTTTCAACTAAATGGTTCAATCGGACAATAGATAGAGTATTTCGATGTTTTTATTTCTACAACCACTGATGATATTCGAAAAAAGACAATGGATTTGTTCGATGACAAACAATTTTATGCGATATATTCCCAATTCAATATTTCGGTCTTAATTTAATTCTCCCCCGGAACTTTTGGTTTCATAATTTTCCGTAGTGTAACCAGGTCAGATTACTTTTACAAAGAACAATTTAACTTGCGCGAGTATAATACGCAAGTTCATCGCTCAAAATCTCAAAAACTTTTCTTCGTCCTCGCGCGCAAAGTGAACTACTCAAAGCTCAAGTTACGTTATTAGAAGATAGAAGCTTGCTTACCTAGCCATAGCAGGTGCCATTAATTTAGCGACAGTCTCAAGCATGACGATAATTTTGTTTTTCACTGTATCTTTCTCATTGTCGATGATAAGTTGGAGTGTTTGCTTGCAACGATCAGCGTCCTGTTGGCTTTTGCTCTCGGCCAAGGCTTCGATCACGGCATCGAGGCCGAGATCTCTGGCGAGAGGCTCGATCGATGTGCGCACGTAGTCGATGTTGTTAATCGCGTAACACCATGCCGTTGATACGTCGAACTGCTTGACTGTGCCACATATTGTGTCTTTTATTTCGGTCTCTTGCTTTGCTTGGATTTCTTCTGCCCTTTGTGACATCTTGTCCACATAGGCGTTTAGGCATTTGCAGATATCCTGTCGGACAACGTTATAAGGTAATTTTTCAAAAATTCATTGCCAACTTTTCGTTAGATATTTTTATAACTGCGTCGCATAGTACTTTCGCCTTAGAACTTCGAATTCCTACATTTTTTCTATTTAAATTACTACTTCTGTGATTGGTATTCTTTTTTTTCGTTTTCTAGATGTAAATGCGTTTGGTATGGCCATGAATCTCATTTGTCGAGGCTATGCAAGTTCGTTGATGAATGTATTTTTCTATTGTTGTTCGAAAAATGAATAAATTGGCTTGTTTTGCATGAACTCAATGAATAACATGGTTTTTATTTATGGAAAGAAAACTTTATTAGGAATTGAAAAACTGTATCCGATTGGAAATATCGAATAATAATTTTTGAAAGATTCAATGAAAATTTCAATCGATGTGCTTGAAAAGAATCAGAATTAAACTCGTTAATAAAAGCGCAGTATCGGTTTTTCAATGAGGCGCGTGAATCACGGAAAGTTAAGCAATCCAGATCTCGAGCAGTATCGAATAAAACTCAATGTTGTAAAGCACTCACATCGACGATCTTGGCTATAAAAGCGTAAGCCCCTTCCACGTCGGGCCAAGCGAGCTGCGTCCAGAAGACCTTGATTTGGTAAAAGATAGTCAGAGTGTCGACGGCACTGGAGCTATATTGTACACTGGCATCGACAGGCTGCAAATTATCAAACTCGACGGCCCTGTCAATTCGCTTCAACGCCTTGTAAACTGCAATCTCAAGCCAGTGAGATACGCCGACGGCGAACCAATTGTAATACTGTTGTATCTTCATTCCATCCACCTCGTCGGGAGTGCACAGGTTCTGTCCGACACTGCGACAATAAAAAAAAGGTCCAGGGAGACGTGTAGTCAAGAGAGAGAGAGCTGGGAGTTGGATGGTGATGATTAATTAATGTAGACTTACGCGGCGAAACGTTGAATAGCGAGATAGAGCTCGAACAGCGTTGTGCCAAGACTGAGCTCTGGGTCCTCGGAAGTCTCGACCTCGATCCTCTTCAATCTTCCGCAGATGTCCTCCACTATCACGTGGCACAGGTCGCTGACTCGCTTCTCGTACATTATGTACAGGCTCTTCGAGTACTGGAAGTTTAACGTCCTGCAAGCACACTCAACAACAACCTCGTTACGCTACGCCATCTCTCGAGACTAATTCCGGCCCGCCTAAAATTATATTCCGTGTGCGCAGAACCCACTTGATGAATAATTTCTCGTAGATGTCCATGGCGCGTTGTAGGTCCAGCCGAATCATTTGGATGACCTTGATGTGATATTTCAGCGCTTCCTCGTCGCTATCGTCCTCGAGATTGTTGTTCGCTACGATATAGTCGAACCTGCGCGCACAGCCAGTTTAGGCGCAAGAAAGTTTACGAGGCTTTAATAGTATGCAAAGGGGAATTTACCACTCGGCGCCGCCGCGAATCACTGCGTACTCCAGGGCCTCGGGGATGCTCACTCGGTCCTCTTCCAAAATTTCCGGTGGAAACCATGAATACATTTTCAGCGGGAATAAATTCATACTCTCCGGCGCCGGCATGCCGTCCAGCGTCGAAATCATTCTACGGAGTCACACACAAACACGCGTTGTACTGCGAACTCACTTCTCCCTTATTCCGGCTGTTTTGCAGCCCCATAAAACCAAAATTCCATTTCGTTCTGTATGCCGAACTTTCGGGCTAATTTGAGAGAGCAACGCGACACGCATACACGCGGACTTTCTTGCTGTTGCTTTCGATCGTAAAAATTGTTTCGATGATTGCAAGTCCGCTTTGTACTCGACCGTCGACAACCGACGAAGCCCATCAATTCTCCGACATGCGCGAACGCGAGCCACTCCGTCAAGCGATTAAGAAATCGGCGCGCGCGCTTGGTCATTTTATGGCCGTCGTAATTCACGCTTATTAAGCTTAAGCTTTTCCGCGGGCTCTTCCAATCAATAAATCACTCTTATCTGGTGCACTCTCGGAACGCGTTGCAAAGGGATTCGAAAAAACAAAAGGCGAGAGAAAGAGAGAGAGAGAGAACGAAAGGAAGATCATCGACCGAGTAGCGCTACGCTCACCTAAGAATAGCGACAAGCTGTCTCATAGCATTCTCCTTGTCGATGGCTAGCCTCCGAATCTTTCTCAGCAAATTCAGTCCCGAGTGCAAGACTTTCCTCGCCGCATCCCAGAACAGCCTGATCTCTTGGTCTCCGAAATCAGCTGACTTCGTTGGGCCCGCAAGGTCGTCCGCCAACTGCAGGAACAGCGCGAAATTCAGCGGATGTTCCTGATGAATTGTGGCGAACTCGATCCAGCGTGCCAGGCCGACCCGATGATTGTGCAAACCGCGCTGTACTCCGTGTTGAAGCACTATAACCTCGCCGGCTGCTGGGAATTTGCCGTTCCACGAGTACTTGTCGACTTTCTGGCTCTCCAGCTCGTTGAGCAGGAGCATTCGGAGTAGATGGCGATGCTCTTGGAAGGCTACTTGCGTGTTGTGCTCGGAGTTGAAGGCTAATTTTAGTCTGATCAGTCCGCGACGCTTGGATTTGTTCTTCTTCTCGAGGGTGTACCATGCTACGTGGCCTGTCACTGGAATGTCCTGAAGAAATTTTTTGCTAGCTAAATATCGCTTGCCCACGGAATCGAAACGCGAACGGGGATTCTTGATTTAGGACGAGGGGACAATGTCGCTGACACTATCAAGTGTAATTATAGCTTTGGATGATAAGCGTCGTGTGACTTAATTCTAGGCTCTAAAGATCATATCTATTGTGTAGTTAGCTATTAACTTACCTTAAGGGGTATTTGAACGCTGCCGATGAACTCATTGTTGTGATTACCACTTGTGGCGGTAATCGCGATTTCTTTGGCTAATTTGACGAAACCACGCACACCTTTGATGCTCTTGACTTTGTTCATTTTCTCGGGTACCGTTTCCGCCGCATCGAAATCCCTATCGTGCCCGGAAAAATAATCAGCTCTATTTCGGTAAAAATTGTCCAGCTGTCGCGTTTCACAAAGAAAAAACTCTTACCACACTTCCACGTTTAACAAGTCGTCTTCGGGATTGTCAAGAGGCCTGAAAATATATCAGTCGAGAAGTCACATTAAGTGGAAGAGTGATGCGCGTAAGAGGCAAAGGGCATGAAAAGAGAGCCCACTGTGCTTACATTTCGAAATGCTCTTGCCAGACAGGTGTCAAGGTCTCGGTCTTGACGGCCGTGGTGTATCTGCGTGTCGGCAACGATTCCAGATATAGTACGCAAAATGGGTCGCTTTTCCCATTGCAATCCTTGGAAACCAGCTCTTTCGCCTCGGCAACCGCTATATTTAAGTGCATCTCGGGCGTCTTAAATCAAATAGCATATATATCAACGCGACCGAACTTTGCGCCGCTTTGCCAATCGTGCGCGTTTTCCTTATGCAATTTTCCGAGAAACTTTGCCGTGGGGTCACGGACGCCCGTGGATGCCATCCGTTTCACTATTTTCTTAAGATCAAAATGAACCATTAATTCGCGTGCAATTAAATTATAGTGCAAAATCACCGAGGAATGATTTTTCATAAAGGTTCGATTCATTCGTAATGGCACGAATGCGTGATTTCAATTCTCGATCAATTACTTATCTACATGGGAAAATCTGAAATCGCGAGCTTACATATAATTAGATTTAGGTAGATTCCAATTACCTCCATCTGACGCGTCTCCTGCAAAACTCTCTCATGAGTCTCATCGTCAATATTAAATGCTTTTTGTAAATAATCAAAAATGGCATTCTGATCTATTTCGTCGGCTACGTCGAATCCAACCTGGTGCTGAGTTATGTACAAAAGGGCAGTGTAGAGTTCTTCGATCTGAAATAAAGTTTTGCCAATTTTCATTTTCACATTTAAATTGACGCAAACGGTTTCGCGAACAACATGGTGGGTTGACGAAACACGTCGATTGTCTATCTGAATTCCCGAAAGCTGCACGTGTGCTCAAGGAACAGCAGAGCCCGATATTTTCGAAAAGAGAAAATGAAAAAACGACAGCTGAATGTTTCTCGGCGGAAAACGTGGCCTCTGTACAATATAAAATGATATATAATGTCAGGCAGCACAGTGTCAGCCGACAAAGCTAGAATCTCCCTCGCAGCGATAAGGAGCAGAGAAAAAAATAGGCATCGCGCAACAAGCTAAAAGATCGTTGCGTTGCATTCAAGTCGCGACCTTGGCTTCGGCAGCAATATGTGTCGACAAGGGCAAACGAATGTTCGAGGAACTAGTAGACGAGAGAGACGCTCTCAATTAATCGGCGTCGTCAGAAACTTGCCTCAAAGTGTTTCCCACGCCAGACCGGCATTGTTGCACGCTGCACTCGCATTATCGTACGCGTCGCGCAGCGCAGCTTGCCGCTGCTCTTCACATGCTGCTTAACTCTACGGGGTGGCGCACTCACGACACTCTGATTATTAGGCCGCGATCCACTTTGCATTCGATCTGTGCAACGGCGCTACTTTCCTCCTTCGATGCTGTCCTTACCCAGCTCCGTTCAATTTTAGACGTCGCTCCTATCCGCCAAACCGCAAACGTTTGTCAGCGATCGCGAAGAATGGCGGCCGTGCTCACGCGCAATCGAGTTGTCCGCGAAACGAGATCGCATTAGCGCGAGAAGCGACGCGCACTGCAGCCACCTGCACGTCCACCACGAGCTTCCTCCCTCGCGCACTGTAAAAGCTGTCTCTCTGGCTCTTCGCGCGCGTTGCCAATTTCATAACCAGCCCGGAATAAAAATAACGCGAGCTCACTGTCGTGCGCACTTTTCCGACTGTTTCGATGCTGAGCGCGCGACGGTCAGCCGAGCAAAGCTTCTCGCAGGCAAAAAAGCTCCGTCCGAGCAAAGAGAGAAGTCTGCGCACACAACCAGGAATAGACTCACATCGACGCTGGCCGTGTTCATCTTCCGTCCGTGTGCAAGCTAAGTGCGGCCAATACCACCTCTCTTTCTCGGCTCGATTTTACTATATACGTTTGTGTACGTGCAAGCGAGAAAGGGTAGGGGCCGATGTCCTGTACCGCACGAGTGAATTCGTTGTCGTGCGTGAACTTGAAACGACGATAACAAACGCGGTCGTTGTGCGCCCGTGCGCGCGCGCGCGCCTTCTCGAGCCGAAATTATGACGATTATTTTTTTTCGATTGATGGAGCGCGTATGTTTGCTTTGTTCGTGTGACTGCGAGGGGAGTTACGCAAATGGAATTTGCGGGCTGGAGAGCGAAAGTGCTTCAACTGTTACGATGAGTTGTGCGTCGAACCACCAAAAAGCACCTTCCACGGAATTCATGCGCTTCAAATTTCAATCAGCTTTTCGCATTATCTATTAAACTCCGCAATAGCCACTTCAAAAACTTGATCTTCTCGGCCGCGCGGCCTCAATAATCTCGCGAAGCTTTGATCAAATTTACCGAGTATGTAGCACGCGCCATCCACTTCGGTAGCGGCGCAAGTTCGCCTGAAGAGGAAAAAAGCTCATTCGCATCGATTACGCAAACAGGCTCTCGCGCACGCGAGTCGAGCGAGATGCGAAGCATCAAAGTTGGATGAATAGATGCGCGCGCGAGCGTGAGACAGAGCATATCGAAGATGCTCTTTGTACGGGCGGAAGATAAGACGCCGCCAAGCGAGATAAGCAGCAGACACGCGCAACTCTCGCGCTCGTTGAAAGCTCGCTTTCGTATACCCGCGCTTGCGAGAGAAAGGTAAAAAACAAACTCCATCTCTGAAGGTTCAAGCCGTTAATGAACTGCACGGCGCTCCGTCATAGTCGGACGCTGCTGTCTTCATTTCTTTCTTTTATTTTATTTTTGGCATTTCGCTATATTACCAGGCTATTAAACGCAGCGTTTATTTAGGTCGACGTGGACTTTTTTTTGCTGCAGCGGCAGCACGGCTGATTGCAGTAAAAAAAATTTGACGAGGCAAATATTTGTTCTATCGCTGATGCTTTTGCCACATTGATTTTCGAAGATTAAAAGCGCGATCGAGGCGATGATTATTTTCAGTGAAAGCTCGTTAAGGCTTTACGCGCTCGCCGAGAAAATGACGCGTGCGCACGAAAATTAGTCTCTGCTCGATTTTCTCGAAAAGCTACATGTGATAAGCTGCGCGGTTCGTTTCACACCGTGTATATATATATATCTATTGATTGCTCCGGACAATTTACTGCAGCCTGAAAATTAGCTACGCGGCACGTCGATGAATCATGTTTGCCCGGTGAACTTTTAATTTGTCGCCGACTTGAGAATGAAAATCTCTTAATAATTCTGGACGATACGTCGTTTTCCTCTGGCTAAGAATAATTTTTTTAGTCACGGAGCAATTTCGCGCGATCGGATTGTGGCGGGTATTACTCACCGCTTGTCTCTTGCTACGAACGTGAATGCGCATGGTATTAACGGCGCTGAGCTTTCTGGCTTTACGCAAAACGGACACAGCCCTGATGGACTTGGAACTACAGACCGGCACTATCAGCCGTGTTGCCATTGCCGCGACGAGGAGCGTAGTGCACCAAGGCAACTGAACCCTACGCGAAACGCCCGTGCGGAACACCCTCATTTCAAATATCAATAGCCCTGCTGCGTGTACCCAGCGTCCATGTGTTTGCTGCCTTGACGATCGATTTCCCGCCACCGCATTACAGTCGACCTGCCAGCATGTGCACGCTGTTATGCATCTTTTACGACCAGCTCGCGATGAATGGAAAAGCCTTTCTCTCGACTCTCTCTCTCTCTCTCTCTCTGCCTTTCTCATCGATTGCGTTTGCTTCTGAGATATTGATAAATTGAGAGGCCCAGACGACGATATTGGCTTTCGATATAAACTGACAGCCACGGAGGAGACTTTGCGAGCGAGCTTTTGATATTTCCGTGAGACGGCAAGTGACTTCCATAAAAATCGTCTCGCGTGCCTTTTGCAAGTCTGATTGTTCTTTGAGTAGCATCGATCGTCTCCAGGCGCCAACGGAGGAACACCAATGGCAGCAGGTCCAGTCAGATTTCGGAGCTCCCGTTACCGACAATTTTTTCCTATTGCCAACGAGATAATTTCCGAGGCTGTCATGAAAATTATAAGAATCGCAGGCGATACAATGTTGAGCCTATCGATCGGTCGGATATATTCGACTTGCACGCGAGCCAATGAAAACGAGTATAAGAAAGAAGATCGCGTAACGAGCGGCGCACGCGAGGTCGGAGGTGCGCATTGATGAAATTAACCTCGTCAAAGGTTTGTTAAGGGCGCGAAGTCGCGCGCGCAAGGTAATGACGAGGATGGGGCCGGTCGGAGGTTAACCAGCGCGCGGAGCCGGGCAAGGTGGATATCATGATGAGAACCGCAAAAGGAGAGGGACTCGGGCGGCGGGCGACGGGCCAATATAAACGCTTCTCTCACTCACGTTGAGTCCCATGGACTGAGCGACGATGTCGTAGGCGGTCTCATGCTCCTCTGACTCGCTGTCGGTGGTAGTAGCGGCGCTGCTAGCCGTCGGCTCGACGGCAAAGCTTGTCTGGCGCTGCAAATTGCTCTCCTTTGCCGCGTAAAGCGCTTCCCTCTTCTCGGCCGCGCAGAAGTTCTCCGGGGCTAAGGGGCCGCACTCCTCCGCTCCGTCCCCATCCCCCTCCGGCAAAGTTTCCTCGAGCTGCTGGGCTTGCGCCTTCTCCGCCAGACGAGTGCCCAGCTTCTCGAAGAAACCACCATCCTCCTCCTGAATCCTTTTGCACGCGGGCGCGCACACGCACGTTGAATCTCGTTAAAAATCCGTACGTCTGAGAGTGCGCCTTGACTACTTTCTCTCTTTCTTTTTTTCCTTAACCCCCCCGAGAAAGCAGGAATTTACGCGCGGGGGCGCTGCGACGGCATGCTCGGCCCGTTTCTTTGTTGCGCTTTGTTAATTCGTGCACTGGCTTTTTCCCTCGACGAGTTTGCTAATTACCGGGCAATTTCTGCGAAGGTGGCTGTAGTTGCCACCCGAGTACGCGGCCTCAGACGTCTCATTCTCTCCTTTACCCTCTCGCTTATTTTCCAAGCAAACCTTTGCACTTTTCACATCTCAACGAGCAATGTCTCAACTCATTTTATCCACGTTGTCTCACAGTTGTCTTGCTATTGTTTCGAGATCGATTGACGGCTGTTCAATCAATCGTCAACTTATATTAGCCTGTCTACTGAATAAATGAATTTCGATCTTTTGATATTTCACGCGAAATGCTCGCTCTTTATCGTTCATTAAAGGAAAACTCACAATTTCTGAGTTGCGTCAAACGTACATGTACCGATGTACCGATGTTGTTGTACGTGCATTTTACACGCGTGATTGCCTAGCCATTATCGAATTTGCAACGAAAATCAAGATTATCAGATGGTTTCAGAAAAAAAAGAATAAGACAGAATAAAACGATGAGTTGGCATACGCGTTTCTTCTGTTTATCATCAAATACAATTGGCAACATGATTGCAGGCTAATTCTCGTACATAATAATAGTATACGTGGCGTTCGCTAAGGTCTTATCGAACAGACATTCTCTGCGAATATCGTACACGAAATTAAATTTTGACGAGAACTTTTTATTAAATTGGAGCTTGTTAATGATATTAAACGAAAATTTAATATTGTTAAAGCTGATAAGTAAAAGGCTATTACAACGCATTTCTCGCGCGCGGAGATGAAATTTCGGCATCGCAGATGAGAGCCGAAGTGAAATTTTTTCTTTGGAATTGATTAATTATTGTTGCGCTATATGCAGAATTTTCACACATTTTTAAATCTTGAGAAAATTATTTAAATTTTACCTTATCCGCGAATCATTTGCGTTGCCTCTGCGCAAAACGTGAAACGACATGCATGCACCAAACATTCACAAACTACAATACAAGAGCCAGCACCAGTACAGCGAACAAAACCGAAAAAGAAAAGAAAGTAGTCAAGCTTTTCGAATTGAAAGGCTTAACAAAAGCTTCAGACGCTAGAATGGTAATATTACTGAATGCGAAAAGGAGATAGAATCGCGTTGGTGAGACAATAGGCGAGTTTTCGCATGTTGTAACCAGTAGTTGGCGACCACCCGTCGGGACGACCCATCCAGTGTTGCGAATCGCCGATCTCAATAGCACTATTTGAATGCCCGAAACACCTGTCGACGCTCTTATTTGTACGTACGCAAAAAAAAAAACGAAAAAAAAGACAAGAAAAAAACGAGGAGAATATCTCTCGATCTATCCCCGCCGTGCCGTTTCGTCACGTGGGTTTGGCGCGCGCCGCGAGCGAGCAGCGACATGTAAAATCCCCCTTTGCCTTTCTTGCTCGCCTTTCTGGCTATGCGCGCCGCGCCAACCGAAATCCACCGGCGCCAGGCCTCATATTTTATCAAGTTTGTACGACGATGAGGCGAGCTGCCAAGTTAAGAGCTTTTTAAGATAAGAGTTTTTTTCGTCTGTGCGTGCGTTTCGTTAGTGTTTAATGCTGCACGAAAATAAGCTTACACGCGATAATTCTGTTTTCACTGGTACTTTAGTTTATTCGAAGGTTCGACTGCCTTTATGATAATCATTTTGCCCGAAGGTTAAACAGAGGTTTTTGTGATTATTACACGTAAATAAGTTTAAATTGATAATTTATCAGAGGGAATGAATGACGTTTGTAAAATTTCAGTAGAAAAAATCTGTTAGGTCAGGCATGCGTAAAAAATACCTTTGTGAGATGAAGTTATAAATATTTAAAAACAACAGTCGTAAAGGATGACACATTTGTTGAGTCAAACAGTTATTATCGTAACGAATACTGTTGAAAAAGTTTTACAAGGTTACTGCGAAAGTTCATAAATATATTATTCTATCGCTATCACAACAACTTCTAGGTAATGTTTTGTTGAGTTGATTTATTTAACAACAGTTTCTTTTGCATAAAAGCACTAAAGAACTTTAATATATAACGTATTGTACTTTTTGTTCTCTACAAAATCTTCCCTGCAAAATAATAATTTCATCATTCTAAATTAAGAAATGTTTGATATTCGAGTACCAAAATATCATCATATCTTATCAAATCATGCGTAAAATTATTCAGTTATTCATAGCAATGATACTAGGTGTGGCAATTTTTATCGAAAAAATTCAAAATGTAAATACTCAGAAAGAAGTATTCAGGTATTTTTGTATCTTTTATATGATAGAAAAATATGTCTTCCTGTAAAATGCTTTTTCTACGTCGGAATTTATTCGTTGTAAGATTTATTCTATAGTTTTTTGTGCGCGTGCTTTTGTTCTCGCTTTCGTCGTATAAGAATAAAACGTAAAATTAAAAAATTGAGTAGACCATTGATTTTCGGGCAACATGTATAGAAGTTTAAAGCGAGCAGAAATCTAAGAAGCTCTAATAGTTTATGCGTAAATATGATGCGTCAGTCCGATTAACAGTAAGATAAAAATGGCCTATTGGAAATGCCCGATTGAAAGTCAAAGTAACACCGGCATAGTAGATCCCTGCAAGGCGGCGCGGCTTTCAAATGAGGCTTATATGTACGTGATTTACATAGAAAGCCGGAGCTATTCATTGAGAATTCATGTATTTGTTTCACGTGTTGCATTAAAATATGGGCACTACTCGCGAGCAGGCAAATACCAAAACTACTATACTACAGATAAAAGTGTTGAAAAACTGACCAGCCGGCTACAATACTTTGTTATTCAACGATCAAGCAGAAACTAAGTATCCTTGCAATGCTAGCATTCTAAGTAACATTCAATCAATTACCATAACATCTTCTCGGATAAACAAGCTCTATCATGCTCACCCATCAATTTGCGAAGCGTTTTAATCACTTCATATCTCAAACATAGCACACGCAAGCGCAGCGCTAGATAGGCCAACGAAACTACAACTTCAAGTTCTCGCGTTTGCTTTACGATATAAACAGCGTTGCAGACGATTATCCTTGGTAGAGTCTCATAACCAGAGCTCAAGATCAATTATTGCCGTCTGTCGGTGTATATCCTAAGGCAGCGATGACGACGTTTGCGCTTACCTTTCACCGGGATAACTCGCGGCGCGTATGAGTCAAATACCAAAATAGCTCGTATCTCCGGCGTGCGAATAAAATCGCTCTATCATGCAAACAATTCGTTAGATACATAGAGTTAGTAGATGCGTGATAATTACCAGAAAGACTTAGGTTTTTTATTCGGATTATTGTTAGTCCAGACACTGAAGAGGCTGGAACAGAGAGCCAATCGGTCGCGTGATATGCCCTTTATAGTAAGTGATATTGACTATTGACAATTGGTTAACGAGATGCACAGATGCCTATGAATACGTGTGCACTCTCAAAATCACTTCGGGCTTTATATTTACCTGGCCTCGTGGCCACGCTGCTCTTCGTCGTTCTGCTGCCTGCTCTCGTGTTGCTCCACGATTTTGTAGTAAAAATCCTTCCACATCTTTTCCTCGTCCATTTTGGCGTGTCGTCGGTGAGCGACTGCGAAAGACACAAACCGCGGGAGACTTTCGCTGGCGGTCTCGCGAGCTCGTGCACCGTTGGAATAAATCACACGCGCACTCGCGGTGCCGCAGCCAACTCCCAAGAACGAAGAACGCCGATCGCCGATGACGTTATAGTACAAAAAAACAACAATCGCGAAGAGTGTCCCCCTACAATCTCGCCGGTACTTATCCACTTTGAACTTTACTTCTAGTTAAAATGCGAGTGAGGAGCTGGCTAAAGCGAGCGACGGATCCAAGTATATATATCGAGAGCGACCGTTGAAAGTAGGACGTAAGAATGGTTGTTCGACAGGTGGGAAGAAGGCGGCGAATGTGCGATGATTTATCCGTCGAGTCGCGAGTTGCTGCGGTGCGGACAGCGGACGAGTGGAAATAGCTAAAATAGCTAGATGGCGGTAGAGGATGCGGTAGTGCGCGCGCTTCAATATTCATCGTCGGTAAAGCGACGCTTGTTTATTAACCACTGCTTAATTGTCTACGGCAATTAACTTGTTGCTTTCGCCATTAAGCAATTTCAAACGAGCTTCAATGAGACTCAGCTCTTTCGAATGATTTAGGCGACCTCTCGATTGACACTCATTCGTTTTCCAACTGTCGTCAAATATTTATACTTTTCATTAATTGATCGATAAATTGCACATTCTTTTTTTATTTTTTTCGTTTGCTTGGTAATAAATTATTTTCATTCGAGTAATATAATTGAATTGACACTCGCTGCACTTTACATTTACCTACGAATGGATACACTAGATCTCCACTCGACATTTACAATTTTAATCACACGCATTGGATGAATAATACATTCGACCCAATCAATCAACAATTGACATTGCAAAGCTAATTCGTAAAATCGAACATAATTTCATCAACACGTAACACGAAAACGATACACGCATTGTTCGCAGAGGCTGCATCTGTTTCTCGCGTTGAGCAGCCATGTTACAACTGCAATTGCGAGAAAAACTTAGTCACGCAAACTAATTTTTATAATTTGAAATAAAAATTTGACATTTCACGCACAACCTTTTTTTGTCACACGTGTAGATTCCCAATAAAAAAATTACACTCGCGCTCGAACGCTTCTTTTTCTCTTTGCCTCTTCAACGTCACACGTTTGAAAATCCGACTGACTCATCCGCCATAACGTATACGTAGAGCCAAGTGGTCAGATGTTTCCAAGGCACGCGGCGTTCGGCTACTTAAATATAGACGACTGCGGATGCAAGTAGCCGTAGGTAATTGTCCCTAAGTTCTTTTTTGCCTTGTAATTTTTCAATTTAAAAAAGCAAGCAATTGCTGGTCAATTGGAAGATTGTAACAAAAAGATGCAATAAAACGGATTTACCAAATTAATGTTCAAGTTCACTTTCCGTCGGAATTCCAAAGTCTCTCTAAAATCAAGTATTTTATTGTGCGTAAAAATAAAATAACATAAGAAGCGCGCAGTACGTGATGTGAGGCGATAATTTAACGAGGTGCAGGAGCAATATTTATTCAAAAACAAACAATCGCGCGTCGCTAAATAACGAGGTGCGTGCCTCGTGCATTACAATTATTGGCGAGTTCTTAATGAAAGATTACAAATACAAAGGCGAAAAATGTTGCCATCGATTCCATTATTTTGATCATTGGTCGCTGAAAACGACAGCACTCGATGCATCCTCGAATTGCGCAGCGCGAAAATTGCTAAAATTACCAACACTCCTCAGCAATTATCACACAATGGACTATCAAATACAGGTATCATCCAGCTGAATCTTTCAAAAAATATCCTTCGTCATATTCCCAACGGAGTTTCATATCCGTTCTCCAATGCAAATCACTCATCTCTTTGGCTCGATAATGAATTCAGAAATCGTCGAGTTTGCGCGCAAGCAATCACATTAAGGATAAAATAAGATCCTCCCGAGAACTGCACTCCAGCTACATAACACGACTGCAGGTAGGGCGAAATTGCCACGACCTTGGGGGAGATCGATTCGACAGGCATCAACGGCCGCCACCCGTCGAGTGCGGCGTTTCTACTTGCCTAAAAATCGACTGAAGCAGGCTTGGCATTCGCTCGCGCGCGCGCGCAAAAGAGAGAGAGAGAGAGAGAGAGAGAGAGAGAGAGAGAGAAAGAGAGAGAGAGAGTGAGAGAGAGAGCGCGCGAACATTGATTGACGCCACCCGTCGTGCTGCTTCGTGTAGCGGATCTTTATTTTCACTTAGCATGGCTATCGCATTACATGTCGAAGGGACGATTGACATTGAAGTGGGTGGAACCACTTTTACGTCTCAATCTCTTTTGCATAGATCCTGTTAACGCGACATTTTACGCAAAGTATTCGCGCGCGCGCCACGACTCTTTGAATCTCCGCGGTATGTGTTCGCTAGTAGAAGTAGACCGATCTGGTCAGGCGAGTCGCTCATCTAGCAGCCGATATAATTTCTGAAATAAGCATTAAGAAAAACAAAGGTAAATAATCTCCCATCGAAATCTTTGCTAGGTCTTTGGCAATGAAAATGAAAAATATCAGCCCACAAGCGATCGTCTAAATGAAATTCCATACCCGTATCCATAATCCGAGACGCGCATACGTTTTTGTATAGCACGACAAAGTTACAAAAAACATTTACGTATACATAGTGTATGCTAATATCACTAGACGTGCTTCAAGCAGCTTGTCATAGATATTTCTATGTTTTTATGTAAAACGTAAGCAAAGACAGTTTTTCTGGCAAGTTTATACGGACACTATTTGTCTTGAAGAATAGTATACGAGATAATCAAGCCCGCCATTGTGTATAATAGTGACGAAAGACAGAAAACTGACGCTTCGTAAATCGACATGCTGTCTCTAATTGTCACTCGAGGCGTTCGCTGCCGCAGTGGTTAATGCACCGTTTGACTGAACGGACGTCTTTGCGACGGCCTGTCACGTTGCTCTCTCTCTCTCTCTCTCTCTCTCTCACTCTCTTTGCATATTATAAAAACGAAAAATAAAATAGAGTGGAATTTCAGGAAAAACCCGAGAGTATGTGGTTTTTCCCGAATTTAAAATTACTTCTCCGAACTCAATAATAATCTGCATAATTGAGCGTCGAAATCGATGTGCGGGCGATAGTCGAAAATTCAAACAAGGTGCTGTGCACGCGAGATACACAATTAAAAGGAGATCGAATCGACTACAGAAACTGTTTACGCAGTTGTCGGTGTTTTTCAAGGCGAAAGAAAAGGATCTTTGCTCGAACCACGCCACTACTACCAACTACTCTTGGAGCACCTCTCTCGCTCGCAGTCTCAACTCGCTGCACGTGGTGCTCGGCTGTGTACAGTAACAAGCGTGCAGGGTCGGTTCTTCTCACGTGAGCTTAGACGAGCGCTTCCTCAAGATAATTAATCAAGGAGAGCTGGCTAAAGTGTATAATATTGTTTCCAGGATTTGTTGTGCGGTAAGTCGATTTTCGCTGTTTTTTAACGCATTCACCAAGATCAGCTTGACAGGGAAGTACTGAGAATTGGAACAAGCTTATTTTAAGATCGGCGTAGGCATTTGTCATTGCTTGTGTTTTTTAAAACGCAAATTTGTACACGTGTTCGTTATTCGATCGATTTTTAATTGATATACAAACAGCTGTCGACGATGCAAATTGTATACGCTATGTAGTGCATTGTTCAAGCATGACATAAGAAGATTACTGCCTTCACTCAGATTAATTGCTTGAACCGCAAAAGTAATATTGTCTTGTTAATTGCTGATTTTCTAAGAGAAAATATTTTTAACGATGTTTTTCATTTGTCTCTAATGCGTTGGAAATCTGCAGTAACATTTTAAAGACTTTTATCGATGTGAAACTTCAATTTTTTGCACTCCTTCAATCAAAGATTTATGTATGTAGAGTTGTATCTGGAAATAATTACAATACGTGATCATTTAAATACAAAGTATAAAACAATGAGGAGAAAAAGTGCTCGAAACCTCGAATAAGTACTGGTGCGAAGAATGTTGACTTTATTCAGGACGCCATTCACTTATTACGCCATGCTATATGTATAAGGCTCGTATACATGTAAGAAATGCAGGCCATTATAAATCGTTATAATTAGTCGACTCTTCTGTTTTATTCGCACTAGTTTTAATTATGATTTTTTAATAATTTCATTTGGCAAATGACTTTTGAAAAGGAAAACGAAGGAAGCGAAAAAACGGTAAACAATCAATAATGCATGAGTAGGATTCAAGCAGCCTCTTGATTTTGTTCGTCACAATCGGAAATATTCTGCGAGTTCCCGTGGACTAACTCTACTTCCTGCGTAGCTTTCGCTATACTATTGGTACGCCGTACGCATAGTTACGAGCGCAGGTGCACAAAATCGGCTCACGTGACTCCCGAGCGCGGGATTTCCCTGAAGACGCCCACGTCTTAAATTATGTTCGCCTAACTACTTGTTGTAGAGCATCTTGCTTCTTTTCTGCATAGCTCTCTCCGAGACTTTCTTTGCGGTAATATGTTGTGTTTTCGCCTAAGTCGCATGGGGTCAGCTAGTCAATGAGCGATAAAAAAAAATTACAAGAATATTTCTCTTCGCGGGATTACGGATTGGATTAAGGCGACTGAAAAAGTCAGTTGGTTTCTACGCAGTTTCGTGAATGTACCTTCATAAACAGGCCATTATGCTTGAAAGGTGTTCGCGTGACGATGATGCGATGCGAGCGAGAGAGAAAATCAATCCACGCACACACGCGCGTTTGCTTTGCGGCTCAGCTATTACGTAACCGACGTAATACCTTTTTTCTTTCGTTTATTAACATAAGAAAGAGATGACGAATTTGAATGTACGGCAAGTCGAATTCCCGGCTGATTCAAATTTTAACGATTGGTATAGGTCGCAAACGACTCTCAAGGACTTATTGATTTACGGTGCGTATAGCGTGAGCATACGGACGATATTGCATGTATTACAATTTTTTCCAAATGAATAGGACGGATCGAATGAAAAGTATTCTACAATGTTCAATGAATATTCTACGCAAGCTATAACTCTCTTGACACATTTCCTCCCAAGCTTGGTTAACCTCATTACGCGCTAGTTTATAACGCCGTGAACAATTGTTCAAACGAGTTGTGAAATTCGTAGAATAATAATACACTTTTTCCATTTCCGCGAGACTTTTTTGTGCAATTTGCCAAACGTACGTATGTAATACAGTTTGAAACTTCAGTACTTCCAAGTAAATTATCAGCTCTAAAGTTTTTTTTTTCAACTCTTTGTTGCAATAATCCTGCTGACTTGCTG